TGACGTGCATGCTCCTCCTGCGCTCTTCAGGGGAAGAGCTTCAAGTGTAACCTTTCTCCTGCCGGCCATGAGCGCGTTTCCGAGGCAGACCCACCACAGGCACTGCCCCATGTCCGTATGCGTGGAGAGGAGCACACCTTTTTGGTTTGTACTTTCTGATGTTTAAACTTGCCTTCATAAAAAGAACCACGTTGGTCATGTTGGCCCCTTGATCTGTCCCAGCAGTGGGAGTTCACTCGACCCATTTTCTTTTTCGGGCACCGTGTTTGTGAAAAGTGAAGACATCAATACGCTATGCAAACTAAGTGCTGAGCCCACTGATGCCACGTTTTGTGAAGATCCTGCGTTTAGCACAGTCCAGTTCTTTTGCCTCAAGACGACAGTATTTTGTTTGTATTCTCCTTTGCACCTTGTGTCAACCTCCACTGCTGTATATCTGCAAGGTGACGGGGAGGAGACCAGGAGCTATTCGTGGTCAGTGGGGTAGCAAACTCTTAGGAAGGCTTTTAGAGAGTAGGGAACGCATCAACACTAAGCACCAACATGAGAAGCCTACATTCCTGTACACAAGTGCCTGCATAGTGACACAAATTCAGCACCTCCATCTCATCCTCAGAACTCTGGCTCATGTTCCTTGCAAGCAAAATGATCCCAGAGGGGCTGTACCCACTCACCTGGTGTTAGAAAGCTCCTCGTTAAGGATAAGATCGGGGTTGAGGTCAAGGTTCTCTCTGCAAATCAGTTTGTTCACCAGCATTACGACGGAAAGCCCCTGGCTGCTGTTGGGCAGCGAGGGGCAAAGGTATTTTGGGTTCTAGTGTTTTATTTTCGTGTTTTAGTTGGGTCTAGGATTCTGAAATGTCTTTTCGTAGCTGTGGCATCGCACGTGCCATTTTTAACCATTTGAAAAGAGACAGTGCGGGCATTTACAGAAACAGCTTCTTGCTCTGTAACAATTTTTTGTAACCTTGAGACTTGAAATGTAAAATGGACCTTTAAGATTTGCACTCATTTGTAAGGTGGCTGTTCATAGAAAACTATGAATGAAGACTTGCTGATGTAGCACCTACTTTTAACAGCGTTTTAACTGCGCGACAGCTTCACAGCTTCTGAAACTCTCAACTGTTGACTTGCAGACTGTGTTCTGCCCTTATTTCACCGTCTGCATTGGGTTTCCATGGGTTTGAATGAATCAAAAAAGCCAAACTCAGTAGCTGCTGTGCCCTTTAAACCCCGTTTCCATTCTGAAGACATTTAGAAGGGGTTTGAGTTACCCACATGTTTTGTATAATGGACTATGCACTGTACCTTCGACACGGCTCCAGCATTCAGCATTTCTGCCCTTTTCTTGTCCGAGATGCGAACGAGTAACTGCATGTTGAGGTGCTGTGCATTTTGCTACCCGTAGCGGATAGATGTTAACCCAGATACATATCAGGATCTGTAGTTGCAAACACAAAGTCACAAACCCCACATGGACATCCCAGATGGCTCCCGAGTCTCTGCCTTCTCCATGCGCACGTGTTCCTTCTGCAACTGGAAGCATCTCTGGGTGCCTGCCGTTTCATGGGAAGAGGAGTAACTGATTTACCCGTCAGCTGTTGAATGCTGTTTGATTCCCTTATCTTCTGTGTGAGTATAATGGGGAGGGAGAGGGCAGAGCAGCCCTTTCCCCAAAGCTTTCAGGGCCGGTCGGGGTGTTCTGGTATTCACAAGCATAAGACCTGATGTCTTGAGTGTCCAAAAGCCCAAGCATTCAACGTTGCCTCGCGGAAAGTTTTCTTCTTGGAAAAATTAGTGTGACGTAAAAGAATGTGATTCTTTCAGGAAGAGAAAGCCAGACAGAAGAGAGCAATAACCACGTGAAATCCATATCTTGCCTGAGTGATTTGCACTTCAATAGTTGTGAAAGAAAATTTGCAGGACTCCAGTGCTTTTGTGTTCAGTTTCTAGCCCCTTTCGTACCTCCTTTATACGAGCAAGTGTTGAACTGTACATAGGGTGTTTACGAGACGCTCTGTTTGGGTTGTTATTTTCCTTGTGGGTTCTTTTGGTTTGGCTTTTGCTTGAGCTCTGTATGGTCCCTTTGTTCAATAGACGTGAACAGTTGATGTACAGTGCTTACTGAACAAGCAGCAGCACAAAACTTATTTTATTAAGAAAATACGGCTTATATTTTAAAGGTCGGATATCAATTTTCCTTTTTGTATGTGTGGAATTGAGACTGGTGGAGAGTAACAAAATCCTTGGATTAGGCCAAAAGAAAATCCTGTAAGATCATAACCACCTCTTTATTAAAGAAAACAGTATGATTCAAGAGCTCCAGAACATCGTATTTATATTGATTTGATTTGGTTTGATTTGATTTGATTGCCTTTGTGGATTTCTCTCTTTTTTTTCTTTTTTTTTTTTTGCCTTGGTCCTGGTTTTTGCTTGCAACTTTGACTCTGCGGTCCCAAGTGTCTGTTACCCTGTAACTGTTGGCAGAAGACCTAAATAAAAGCAATGTGAACACGTTGGGGTGACCCTCCTGAGTCAGACTGCGTGGGGAAGGTTCATGTGCAGCCCCAGCCCTTGGGAAAGGCTTGGGGACGAAGGGGGAAGCGCTGACTGTAGCTGGATCGCATCAGGTACTGCAGAGGATCTGAACCCCATCCCATAATGAGGGAAACACTTCAGTGAACAAATATCTCTTAAAACTTCTTGGAATATGGGAGCCAATTCTGCTTCTTACTAGAATGTATCTGTTTGAGGACTGGCTTAAGTTGAGCTCCTCAGGTCATCGGATAGCAGGACCATGCATCAAAATACACTGCTTTTCCAGCTATGTTGTGTGCTCTGGGGCTACAAGAGGCTGTTGGCTCCATGGTGCTTTAAGTGGACAGATTTTGGATCCCTTTTGGACTGGGGTTAATCCTGATCCTCTGGGTTTCTCTTGTTTTACCTTTCTCAGCTTTGGAATGCAAGCATCCCAGCCCTCTCCAATGCTAGCAGCTTACGGTTGTGTCATAGGGTCTGAAACTGGAGGCTGTTTCCCATCCTCCGAATCCTTAGATCCACTTGTGCTTCACCTTGCAAACGTGCATTGAGGTACCTATAGATGATGGATTATTTAGCAGCTGAGCTCTAACTGGGGTTTGAATAATGCTAAGCAGTTCTAAGGAAGCTCTGGCTAAAGACACACACGTCCTCATTAGATGATTTGCACTGTAGCATTCAGAACATGTGCTACCAAACCAAGCACTTGTATGGGTTCCACACACATCCTGCTGCTGGTTTGGGGGTTATAGCTTAGCTCATACCTTATATTATACCTTATTGTAAACTGAGTCCTACCACAGAACAGAAATCATCTCCTGCAGCTCCTGGGAGAGCTGCCTTGTGCAGCGGGTCTGAAGGCCAGGAAAACAGGTCGGGCTCCTGGGTTTCGGGTGTTAGGTTGGCATTTGAGCCCCGGCCTGGGGTTCTGGTTACAGCAGAACCAGAAGTGCCCACCTGCCTCCAAAGGATGCGCGTTGTGCAGAGATGCCTCCCTCTGCTGTATCTGCTTGATCTCGGGGATCACATTTCCCCTTCCCTCTCAGGATTCCAGCCAAGGAAATGAATATTAGTCATTTACTTTCAATTTGCATGGGTTTGGAATCCGTAACTACATTGACACTTCCTAACGGGCAGTCTCAGGATGTTCCCTCTCAGTAGTGATCCTGAAACCTAGGGCGTGAACCTCAAACTCCTGCAGGCCCAAAGGCCCTCAGCCTTTTCTGTGGGGGAAATGCCCCTTTCATCACCAGGACAGGAGGGGATATAACTTCTCCATAACAAGTAGCAGGTCCAAGCCTGCTTGGCCAAGACTCAGTGTACTGTTCTTACCCCAAAAAGTGATGTTTTGGTGTAGAGGGTGCCAGTACCTGACCCCAGTGCTGAGCTTGGTGCATCCCCCAGATGTGTTGCTCGTTTCAGCCTCTGTTAGTTCAGTGACAGTGTGTCACGTCTATGGCGAAGCGGTGCTAAACATGGTTACAAATACTGCCAAACCCGAGAGAAGAGCAGGCGGGTGCCCGGGCTTGATGCTGATGCAGTGGCTCAGGGGCCCCAGGTACTTGAAGTCTCCCGGCTCCTCTGCAAGTAGGGACAATAACCAGCAGCCTGATGTCAGTGCATCGGTTGCTATGGCGGTGGAGGATAGTGTGCAGTTATCAGGGGTTGGTTTGGTTCAGTGTGCTCGGATTCAGTCCGTTTGGCGGGATGAAGGGAGGAGTTACAGAACCACAGCCTGGTTTAGGTGGAAGGGACCTCAAAGCTCCTCCAGCTCCAACCCCTGTCACAGACAGGGACCCCTTCCACTGGAGCAGCTTGCTCCAAGCCCCTGTGTCCAACCTGGCCTTGAGCACTGCCAGGGATGGGGCAGCCACAGCTTCTCTGGGCACCCTGTGCCAGCGCCTCAGCACCCTCACAGGGAAGAGCTTCTGCCTAAGAGCTCAGCTCAGTCTCCCCTCGGGCAGGTTCAAGCCATTCCCCTTGGCCTGTCCCTGCATCTCTTGTCCCAAGCCCCTCTCCAGGTTTCCTGCAGCCCCTTCAAGCACTGGAGCTCCCCTCAGCTCTCCCTCACGGAGCCGGCGTTGCCGCAGGGCCGGGACCGCTCCCGCTGCCTTTCCCGCCCCGGCGCCCCCGTTGCCAGGCAACCGCACCGGCTCGCGCTCCTCTCTCCCGCCCACTTCCGGCCCCGCCTCCTCCTCCCGCTCGCGCCCGGAAGCCCCGCCCCCGGAAAAAAGGGCGCGCGCGTCCCGGCGTGCGGGGGCGGGACTTCCGGCGCGCGCGCGCGGCGGTGCGGGGAGCGCAGAGCGGATCGGAGCTTGCGGCCGCGGCTGCGGGGGCGGACACGCAACTTCCGGCCGGGGGGCGCCGCGCGCCGCCGCCGCCTGAGGGAAGCGGGAGCTGCGGGCGCGGAGGGGACGCGCCGGGCCGCGGCCTGCGGGGAGCGGGGCCGCGCCGCCGCCCAGCGCAGCCCCGCGCAGCCCCGAGCCGGGCCCGGCTGAGCAGCGGAGCCCGCAGCCCCCAGCGGCTGCGCCCAGCTCCATGAATGGAAATCGGCAGCGCAGGTGAGCGCGGGCGGCCGCGGGGTCGGGGGCACCAGGCGCCGGCCCTGCGCCGCGGCACCGTCGCTTTGCCGGGCTTCACCGCGCGGCTTTTACCCACCCCCCCCATCCCGGCCCCGGTTCCCGCCTGGCGGGCAGGAGCTGTGCGGTGGGTCCCGGCGGAACGGGTTCGCCGTGTGGTGACCCGGGCGGGGAGGGGAGGAGCCGCCGGAGCCCCCATGGAGGTCCCGCTGCCGTCGCGGGGGACCCGGTCACCGCGTCCCGCCCGTTTCCCTGTGCCGAAGGCACTCGAGAAGTAATTTTTCCGTATTTCATAACTCGTGCTTCCCGGGCGGCGGCTGCAGGCCCGCTTGCATAATCCGGTAAGTGATGATGCCGGGAGATGCCGCCCTGAAAACCGGAGCTTTCCCGTGCGGGACCGGTGCGCCCTCCGCTCCCCGCACCGGCCAGATCCGGGACCTGCCCCTTGTGCGGCCGGGCGCTGGGCACGGGACTTCTCAGGCTTTTGGGAGTGCTGCTGCACCGTGTCCAGCCTGAGAGCTTTGGGGTTTCCCTGCGGTCCTTTGATCCCTTCGCATGGGACACTGCGCTCGGTGGTTATAAACCGCATGGTTAAAATGTGCTTTGAGGGTCGGAAGTTAAGGTTATCGAGAGGATTTCTGTCCGTGTCTGACGGGACACTGGGAGGAGAGTTCAGGCTTGGGCAGTGTTCGTGTTGGAGCTGGGTGGCGAAGGGAAAGGTGAGAGCTCCCTGGAGTTCCGTGTCTGTCACTCCAAGAGCTGATCGCAGCGTGAGACTGAAGCTGCCCATGCAGATCGTGCGTTTTCACCTCCTGTGTAGGTACCTCTGTAACGCGCACAGAGATTGAAGTTAATGATGGATTTGGCTGCAGAAACTTGCCACCCAAGCTGTGCTGGGGCTGGAACTATTTTAGGAAGCTGCTGGATTTTAGCACTCCGGTGGAATTCAGCCTTAAACTTCATCTGTTAAATAAACTTTTAATTCAAACTGGTGCAGTTCTGGTTGACTCCTAAGCAGGAGATTTGTAAGGGTAGCCTGTAAAGCTTGTCGTTTTCTTTGGTGTGAGTTCACCTGTATTAGGCTACAATGCATTAGGTTTTAGGAAAGCAGGTTGTGAGGCACTGCTCCTGAGGGGCCCAGCCTGCTCAGTGCCATGGCCAGCACCATGGGTGGTCCTTCCACGTCTGCTGTGTTACAAGGTAATGTTAACAAAGGTTAACATTCCATGGTTTGGGGAACCACGTAGCCACATTGTTTGCACAAGGGGACACAAATCGTCCTTGGTGGAGCGAATAAGGGTTCAAGTTCTGTCACGGAAGGAGAACAGCATTGATGCGCTTCCTTTTGTGGCTGTGAAGGGAAAATACGGGGTAGAATCAGAGTGGGGAAACAAGGATAGGGTTGTGAGTATACCTGGAGTAGAGAATGGGAGCGTGTGCCAGGTAAAGCAGGGCTGTGGGGGTCTTCCTCTTCGTGTGGTCTGTGAAATCTAGGCAGCGTGGCTCCTCTAGTCCATGTGGTTTGAATGCAGTTGAAGTAGAAGGATGTGAAGCTGGCTGTTTGGGGAGCTGCTGGTGGTGGAGTCACAGAAACTGAGGAACAGCTGTAAGATGCTCGCTGCAAAAAGGTGAAGTGCAGTAAAAGCAGCTCTTGGTAAGAGCTCCCATTCAGTGCCATGCGTCGCACTTCCACCAGGAGAGTGCCAAGTAAGCCTCCAAAAGGCAGGTGCATTAAAACAGTGGGCCTGTGGATGCTCTGGGGTATAAAAGTCAAATAAGAGTGCTCTGTATGTCCTCCCTTGGGTTTCGTAACTTACTCCATCAACCTTCACAGCTTCTTGTGTTGAAAGTGTCAAGCTATTGCATTTGGGTTATTTTACTCCAGTGTGATGTGCTTTAATGAAGCACTGCAGACACGGTTAATCTTCTGTTCACTTTTCTATACAAACTCGGGGCAGATAAACCACTTCTCTCTTCCCATGTGAAGAGCAGTGATTTGGGAGGACCATTAAAAGCCACATTTTTGTGGGTGGGGTAGAGGAGGGAAGGGGAGTGATTCATAGGAGCCATCAAAAGTTATTCTGTGTGGTGTGAGATACAATGGAACGTTTCCTCTGGAGTGGTGGTGGACGCTGTTTGACTCACAGGGTGAACTTTACCAGTGTTTCATCCTCGTTGCTTCACTTCCTCAGTGGTAAAGGTGTTGGGATATTTCTTGAGCCCATTTCCAGTAGAAACTGAAGGAAATGACAGGAATATGTGGTTATCTGCCTTTCAACACATCTGGTACGTGTTCTAGCAACACTCTGATCGAACCCGTTTCCCACTGTAGCTAACTCCAGACAGTTCCTACAGCAAGGAGCTCAGAGTCAGCCTGCAGCCAGGGGTTTGCAGTTTTACTGGGTAACAGAAAAATGCAGCTGAGAGTCCAAAGACCTGGCTTGAATTGGGAGTGAGGAGCAGCAGCAGACAGGGAGAGCTGCCAAGTGATCAGAGATGTCCTGATAACTGAAGACATTTTTCTCTCTCATTAGACTGTATAACCAAACTGTCATGCAAAGCATCTACCTCTTAATTAAAGAAGAGTTTCTAGTTGGATACAAGTCCGTTTGGTTCTTTGTGTTCTTCAGTCACAGGATCTCATTTCTTTGTGCTGCAGTGCATTCTTCTGAAAACAGTGACATTTGCCTTGAATTTATTGTTTCTTTCAAGTGTGTTCGCATGCAGATCTTGTTGGGAGGTAAAGGGAATGTTATTATTATGTTTAGATAACATAAAGTTGTGTTTTATGCTGCAGGAGGCTCTCTAAACTCAGTGATATGACTGTGTCTGGGATCCCAGTGTTCCGCTCTTAGATATTTTTCAGGCAGTAAGCTGAAAACAAGGGGACTGCTTGCATTTAATCTTGAAACCTAAATAGCTTAGGGTGTCCTTGCCCATGGCAGGGGGTTGGAACTGGATGGGCTTTGAGGTCCCTTCCAACCCAAACCATTCCAGGATGCTATGGACAGCGCATTTCAACTCTCCAGAGCAGCAATTCAGAGGTGGTGAGTAGGGGAAGGAATTACGTAGTTTTCAAACCAGTAAATATGAAGCCAGGAAAACAAAAGTGCATGAAAATCAGCGTATTTACTTATAAAGTGGTTTTTTCTTTGATGTGAATGCAAGTACGTTAGTAAAGGTTTCATTTGGTGGCAAAATGTGGTATACCTACACACAACAATAAAGATTGTGTCAGTTTAACTTCCTGATTTAGGTGTGTGGAAATATGTTCAAGGGAAAAGCATTGCATTTTCTCTTCTCTCATTAACTTTATGAGGGTCATATAAGTGGCTTTTTTGAGCTTAAAGTTATTTACGATGAGATATTTCAATGGTTCAGAAGCATTTATTATCTTGTAAATGCTTCCTGAACACTTCCCTGTGCTTTCTGGAGCTTCGTTAGGCCAGAGCAAGCCAGCACTCTGGTATTTACTTGTGCAGTTGGCTGTTACTGAGCATGGCAGCAAAATGTTGGCTTTTGATGGGTTTTAACATGACTTATTATCTAAAACCTTCAAAGCAAAAAGAAGTCCAACTTGGGAGTGGGAATGTTGAGGAAACGTGGATTGCGTTACTCATAAATAATGTAATGCCACCCAGCGAGGCTGCAGCTACAGAAACGAGGCAATTTATGATTTCTGGCGTGAGGAAGAGCGCGATTATTGAAACCAACGTTTAAATAGCATCTTCCCCATCTATTTTTTTAATCTAGAATTAGGTTTTGGTAGCAGAAGGGTTTTCTTTGAGCTCCACAGGCTGGGCCTCAGAGCCCAAGCAGAGGCCAGGGGCCCCCTGAAAGGGAATCGCTTTTTTCCCCCTCCATCCTCTCCATGGAGAGCTTTCTCCCATGTGCAGGCTCCAGCCTGAGGACAGGAGCTGGTAGACAAAATCTGCCTTGTGTTACTGAGCCAGAGCTTAAATAATATTTCACCTGTGAAGTCCTCTGTCATGCCTTCGGGGCTGCTCAGTCACCCATTCAGTTAGGGATTTAGAACTGGTTTATAGGCAAAACCAAAACTAGTAAGTAATCATCTGTTCGTATTTTGGGGGTTTGTAACGCCGAAGCCACGGTAGGAAAGAGGATTTTGTTTTGCTGGAATTGTGGTGCTGTCTCTGTAAGGAAAGGCTCGTGTAACGAAATCTGTATTTTCTATTAGCATCTTGTTAGGAGTCAGTGTTTTGCTTCGCACTGTAAAACCCTCTGGCATGCCAAAAGCCTCAGTTTGCTGTAAAACGGTTTGATGAAAGTATTTGCAGGATTCTGTGCTTCTGCTCTTTCTGTTCAGGCTTTATGCCGATGAAGGCTTCGTTTGGTTGCTAGGTAGATTCAAGCCTGTGCCTTGGATGCACGCCAGATGTGTTCTATACTGCTGGCTGCATTGCCATAGAGATTACAGGCAAATTTTGTTGTGTTTAATCTTTATTATAACATCTCTAATTCCGTGGAGGAACAGCATCTGACTCGAAGCTGATTTCAGCCGTTAGAGGGACTTCCATGTTGGTCTGGAATATTATCGTTTTGAATGGGAATTGTGGGTCTGAACACTGACAACTGCAGATCTCCACTGGTTCCAAGCTCTGTCAGAGGAAATGGGTCTGTTGGCGGAGGTGCCACATAGTCACGCTTGAAATTAGTCTCATTGTCCATGTATTTTTAACATTACTCCAAACTTCAGCTCTTTGGAAAAGCAGTATTGGGATGAGTGTTTCCTTCAGAAGGTATTTCGTGACCAATCCACTTCATTTTAGCAAATGTTCTTTACCATTTTGAAATGTTACTTTCCTCATTAAGCCCTCAAAAAGTGACGGTTCTTTTTTTCTTCTCTCTTTGGGTTTTGTTGCCATGTTAGATTCAGTTAGAGCAAAGCTCTTCAATCAAAGTATCTTCCCTCTCTCAGTAGAAAGCTATGGGATGTAGACCATTGACATGTCGCTCAGCCTGGTGTGGCAGGCATCTGTGACCAGCACAGATCATGGTCCTGTGTGTGTTGGGCTGGAGCAGTAATATCCTGTATATGCCCATGGGAAATACTGGTGTAAATCCCCTGCAATATGCAACAGGGACTCAAGATACCCACTTAGAACGTGGCAGAGAGTAGCGCATGGTCACGCAGTACATCACTGAGTGCTGTTGGTAAATGGAGGAGAGGAACATTCCTGGTTAGGATTTGTCTGTTTTGCGGATATTCTGTAAGGGCTTCTGCTTCTACTTGCTTGTCGAGCATTCACTTGTGAGGAAAAAAAGTCTTCTGGCCTTGGTGACTGATGTGCATAATGAGCCTGGGGGTAGATGCCCATGAGAGTAGGCTTAGATCAGGTATTAGACAAAGTCCTTCCCTGTGAGGGTGCTGAGGCGCTGGCACAGGGTGCCCAGAGAAGCTGTGGCTGCCCCATCCCTGGCAGTGCTCAAGGCCAGGTTGGACACAGGGGCTTGGAGCAAGCTGCTCCAGTGGAAGGGGTCCCTGCCCGTGGCAGGGGTTGGAGCTGGAGGAGCTTTGAGGTCCCTTCCAGCCCAAACTGTGCTGTGATTCCATGAATAACTTCAGCAAATGCTAGGAATGGTAGTTTATAAATGGATATACCTTTAGTTCCCAAAGAGGTTATTTTTTCTTGCCTTGTGTTATTACCGATTTAAATGCTTAGTTCAACATTTCCATTGCAGGTTTTTCCAGTATGTTCTGTAATGAGTAAAATTCAGACGGCTCAAGTTATTTAGTGGCGGATCTTGTATCTTCTTGAAATGTACTTCCTTGCTGTATAAAAGCCTTCCAAGAATCTGAAGCATTCATTGTAGTTCCTATCTGGGTATTTGTTGCTCTGTGTTATAAATCAGTTGACTTGTCAACGCTGGGGACTTTCCTTAACTGGTGTTAGGAATTAAGTGCTGTTCTGGCAGGCTGAACAGGCTCGGGTTATGTTTTATCTCGGATTTTTAAGAACATACTAGGCTTTTGTACTTAACTAATGGCAGAGTAACAATAGTTTCTTATAGCCAAAGGAGTTTCTCCTCTAAAACTTGTGGGCATCTCAACAGTGAAAGGCTTCTCTTCTGAAGGCATCAAGAGGCTGCACGCTCTGCCGTAATGCTTTTGCAAAGGCTTTTTGGAGCTTTAGAAACTTTGGATTTGCCATGGTTAAATAATATGGAGTAATGAGGCTGCCAATCATAGTCTGAGATAGTTAGAATAATACTGCTTTTAGTATTTTTGGGTCGTGTGTTTATTTCCATTAGCTTGACACAGGGCTTAGGCATGAGGTGGAGTGAGTCACTGCTGCGATACAGGAGCAGGAGCTGGCCTTGAAGAGCGTCCCTTGTTATTTGTGTTTTACTGGGGTTTGAGTCACAGGTTTGAAGCCAGTGACACAGACTTCCACAATGTACGATCTGGCAGTGTGGTGTACTCTGAAAGCGGGATATTCCGAGTGGGTGCTAGTGGGCAGTGGGAGCAGAATTGAATTCACAACATACTCTTTTTTTTTAAGATAACTGATTCAAGGAAGCTTCTGCATCACAGAAAATGATAGCAAAATCAGATTAATTCTTAAAAACTATTCCTGAATAGTGTGTGGACCTGCACTTCTTACTTATTTATTGCGCGTTTCAGTCCTGCTTGCCACAGTCTGGGTTCTGACTTCTTCAGGGTGAGCCGTTTCCTGAGGAGCTCTGTGTGGAGCAGCTGAACAAGGGAGCCTGAAGAAAGCCTTTGTCTCACTCGTGGTGTTCTCACTGCTGTTTTCCAAGGAGCAGAGCTCACGTACTTGGCTTTGGGTAGAGCGTTCCTTCTGTGGCCCAGGATTTTGAAGCGCCCTGCCTCACATCGTGTCTCTGGTCAGGACTTTGCCACTGTGCAGCTGATCACTAGGATTCTGTTAGAGGGGTGAACAAGGGGGTAGCATTCCCATAAAAGAGCTTATCAGTTACTAAGTTCTACCTGATGCAGCTTCCAGAGGAGATGGTGAGGAAGGTTTCAGTCACGCTGGATTTCCCATGCTCTTCTTCCCCTAGCCCTCATGAAGATTGAATTTACACTCTTTCTTCTGTGCTTATGTATTTTAGCAACTGGTTTTGCACTTCTCATTCATTGAGGAGGGTAGACAGGGCAGACCAGGCTACAGCAGCCTTTTCATGTTACCTTTATTCCAGCAGGTTTCTTAGCATTTCCTACAGATATGAACTAAATAGAAACCATGGTTTGTATGTCTTTGTAGTATTAAAATAAGCTATTGAGTCATTTGTGTCACTCAAATGTTTAGTAGTAACTTTCTGCATATGCTTCTATTCTGAAAATATATCTGGAGTAAATTGTAGCGCTGCTTTTACTCGGGTGACAGTATTAAAATGGAGAAAAAGTTGAAAAGAACAGATGCTTGGAACAAGTTCTGTAAGCATAGGCTGTGAGGGTGTTTTACATGATGCTTCTTGGTTCATGGTTTTGCTTTGTGGCTCAAAGCCAAGCCCACTCAGAAGTTTTGGGGAGGTTTCTGAGTAAAGCCAGATGAATTTCCACTCAGCTTTGATGCTCACCTGTTCTCAGTACATGGTTTCCTTCAAGATAAGGCAGTGATTTTTTTCCAGGAATGGAGATTAATAAAAAGGCAAATCAGACATTTTTACCAGCACTTGACATTTTAACTTTTCCGGGAAAATGAGGGGGCTGGAATCGCTGTCTGCGTCACCGAGTGGGAGTAGAGGGGAGAACTTTAAAGTCACTTAATTGAATGCTCTCTAAATCATGACATTTGTGCAATGAGTAATTTTGTTAAAGCTCAGGCTCCAGAGCAGTTTGCTTTTGTTGTTGTTTCTTGTGTGGAAAGAGAGATTTCCAAGTGGAAATACCAGTAAGAAATTCTTGAAAGTGGACTATGTTCATGACCGTGTTGGGTCTTGTGAGGCAGAAGTAGCCCAGAGCTGAGTATTCTCATCTAAATGGTGCAAAGTGAATTAAAGAGATAACCAGAGGAGAATGTAACATCTGTTCCTGGACAGGTGGGTTTAGCTGCCTTTCAAATACCTGTCCCTTATTGCAGATGTTGGTAGTTTCTTCAGGGAGCTATGGGAATCGTTCCCTGATCTAGAAGTAATCAAGAGTTTTACATTCCTGTGTCTTAATCTGTGTCTTTGCTCTTCTGGCCGGTCGGCTTTATCAGTGCAGTTAGCCAGCAGGCAATGGCTTTACTCTTCATCCATTTCCAGCCAGCAAAGTTCAGGAATAATCTGACTTCCAGAACTAAGCTAATGATGACAATGAAATGAAGAGTTTATCACAAACAATGTGCATCATTCTCTTGTTCTGCACAATGTTGTTATTATTGGGGTGTTCAGAAGAGATCTGTAAAATGTTTAGTGTTTAATGGCTTTCCACAATAGTAAAGCAACCTTGGTTTTGTGTGTTAGGGGAATGTGATTTTCTTCATGCTAATCTGAATTTGAGCTGAAACTCATCAGTAAGAAAACAGGCTAGATGTGGGTGGAGGCTCAAGCAGTTAAAATAGGCAAGTGCTTGGAACTTAATAGGTTACCATGCTGTTTGATGTGTGCTGTTTGATGCAGGTAATTTTCCCTTCTTCCAGCGTGCTGGCTCTGGTGTCTTCCTGGTTATCCAGTGTGTTGGTTCAGGGAATTGCCTAAGAGTGAAAAAGGGGAGTACATCAGTAAGCTCAATGGGGTACAAGTACGTGTACCTGCAAACACAAGGAGCCTTATGCATTTTTAAGCTGCTGAAATGTAAGCAGGTGGTACCTTTGCAACACAGCTTCTCTATTGTGCTTCTCTCCTAAGCAGTGCTGGTTTTGTCTTCCACAGGACCCGTCGGGGCCCAGCCCCTCCTCATGGTGCCCAGACGTCCCGGCTATGGCACCATGGGCAAACCCATTAAACTGCTGGCCAACTGCTTCCAAGTTGAAATCCCAAAGATTGATGTCTACCTCTATGAGGTGGATATCAAACCAGATAAGTGTCCTCGGAGGGTGAACAGGTAAGAAGATGGCATTTGTATTGGAAGTTATATTGAAATAGTTAAGCAACAAACTGCTTTTCCCTTTGTTAATATATTATTTCCTGCAATCAGTATATTTGAAATGGTCAGACATGGTTTAAGCTCCACCTATGTCCTGTCTCTGTTGTTATAGCATTCCATACAGCACATTGTATCTCATCTTATTTTCATGTCTGGAATATATTAGGGTCAGTTAAATCCCATGCTAGGCCACTTCCTGTGTATTTTGTACACTTTTATGTGTATTTTGTCCTAAACCTCACAAGTTTTGGGAGCCAGAGAAACCTCAGAAAGAGGAGGTAACTGAACCTGACATAGGAGATACAGTATTTCTTGCTTTCAAAAAGATTACAACATTTTGTATTTCCTGTATTGTGTAACCTGTTTCATCAGTGCAAGTTCAGGGTAGCTGAAAAGCAGCTTTTGCCTCTTTCATCTGTAACTTTTACATTCTAACAATATCATCTCACATGGGCCTGATTTTGGCTGGTGATTTTTCCCCCTCCCTGCATGCTGCAGGTATGAAGGCTGTTCAGATAGCTATGATTCATTAAAAGGAGAGTAATAAATTGCTAAAATTGGGATAGAATAGTTCTGTGTGACTTAATGCTTAATATAATCTTACAGTTATCAAAGGTTCATTTAGTCCTGTATTGTTAAATGAAGGATGCTTGTGAAGCCGTGTCCATGGGGATACAAGGAGAATATCAACTGCTCTAAACTTGGTGATTTGTATGCCTGATTCTTTCCTAGTGTGATCTTTTAATGAAGATCAGTATCATTTCACTTAAAATCAGTTATCTAAACCCATTTTTTTGTCTGTTCCATGGCCATGCTTGATTAAAATAGACTGAGGGAGTCAAAGCTGTAAGAACTCCAGCAGTTGCAGTCTGTGAATCTGTGTAGTTGTTTCCATAACAGTGGGAGAAATTACAGCTGTTTGAAAAAAAGAGCATTTGAAATAAGTTGTTTTAAAATGGCAACTCAATTTTACTTAAAGCAGGCAGGAAAAAAAACCCTCTATGGTGCCATTTGTAGGGTGATTTCCAGCTCGCTTCCAAACCCGGAATTGCTGTTTGTCACAGCTTGCTTCAGTTGGTTATGTGTTAGATAAAGCCTGAGTCTTCTGAAGTTTTCAGTTCATGTGGAGAGAGGCAAAAGCATTTCGTTTGGGTTTGTAAAGTAAGTCTTTGTGAAATGCTGTGTGTTCCTGTGCACCTAAATAACGGTCGTTTGCTGAAGAGCATGTTTACAGCTGGTAAAACCTTTGCATGCCTCGAATTGAGATTCTGACTGTTCCTTTAGGCTTTTGTTAGGTTGTGTGAAAGCGGGTTGTTTCTCAGAAGTGCATTTTATAGACCAGAGTTAGTTTTAAGTGCTTTTTGAGGTTTCTTATTGTTAGGTTTGGTTGCTATAGCATAGGTGTAGTTCAGATGCACATGTCACTTTGTCCAGAAGCTCATCAACTTTCTATTCTACCAGTAAAGACATTGTCTTCCTTGCTCATATTATCAACTGGTAGAAGCAGTCATCTGGTTTTTGTCAAGCTAAACTGAGAAAACTGGTTGGATGCAGGCAGCAAACCTGCTATTTTTTTATTGCCACCAGCTTATACTAAAGTAAGTTAAGATAATCTGTAATTATGTGCAAATTTGATCAGGCTTTTACCTGATTTTGAAGTAAAAACTCAGATTAAGGATTTGAAGCTAAGACTTTTTTAGGGTACCTCATTTTTGTATACAGTGTGGGCAGAATTCATAACTGACTGGAAGAGCAGATGGAGGTTACTGGGTAGACATAACAATTTACTGCGTCCATGAACTGGCAGAGCTTTCAGTCGTGAGTTTATACTGGTTTTTCATAATACTGTCTTGTGGTTTTCTTCCAAGGTAAGTGTGTCCTTGTTTCCTATAATAAAGGTTATATGAAGGTCTCAGTTCTAGGACTTTCTGAAATGATTTCAGTAACAATATTTTCCAGTATTGGAGCATTTGCATTGATTCTGATTTTACTCTTTAGTTGATGTATGTGAAGCCCCTTTTTGAAGCAGCAGTGGGTGTTCTATAATTCACTCAAGTCATGTTTGTTGAAATGAGCCAGTTGCAGTCTGATACTTCTTTGGAAACATCTTCAATGTAAATATCACCTTTTCCAGGGAGGTGGTGGACTCAATGGTGCAGCATTTTAAAGTGACAATATTTGGGGACCGTAGACCAGTGTATGATGGGAAAAGAAGCCTCTATACAGCCAATCCACTGCCTGTGGCCACAACTGGGGTAAGAACTAGAAACAAAAACATGTTTGTAATAGGTTTGTAAGAAAGAACAAGCACCAAACCCAACTTCCAGTATTGCTGAGTTCAGAAAAACTGGAATTGACTTACAGCCTGTGTGTTGAAACGGAGTTCTTCTGATGTATTTCCTGCAACTACCAATGTATGTAAATATGCATGCAATAGCTGCATTCAGAGAGAATTTAGCAGCCTTTTTTTACAGCAAAATCTATCAAATACTCAGTTTTACAGACTAATACATTATCTTATGAAGTCCTATTAAAAAAACCAAACCACAGTTTCTCTGGGATGAAGAGTTTTCTGTTTCAAGATGGCAAAAAGTTATGTGATCCTCTTCTGCTTGGTGAGGACCCACTTCTCTTTGTTTTGTGTATTTGATAACATACTTCTGTCAGATGTGCTCTGTCCTAGATATTTGAGGTTTTGAGTCTCTGGCCCAGTTTTGGAAGGAGTGGAATCTCAAGGCCATCAGGCTCCGATTAAACAGCTGCCTTTCGTTTCTCCCTCTCCCACACGCAGGTGGATTTGGATGTGACATTGCCAGGGGAAGGCGGAAAAGATCGTCCCTTCAAAGTGTCAATAAAGTTTGTTTCTCGGGTGAGCTGGCACTTGCTGCATGAAGTTTTGACAGGAAGAACCTTGCCTGAGCCTCTGGAACTAGACAAACCTATCAGCACTAACCCTGTTCATGCTGTCGATGTGGTGCTACGACACCTACCCTCCATGAAGTAGGTTCACTGTCTTCCTGCAGTCTGTCTATACCTGAAGTATCCCCAGTGGGAGACCTTCATCCCTGTTTCTTCACAGGTGAAAAGACAAAAATGATCATTCCCCGTGTGCAGCACAGCTGGTTAGCTGGACTGACTGAGGGGATTAAAGCCAGTTATGTACAAGTGTGTGTTTCTGTAGACATGTAGGCTCCAGAGCAGGTGATGCATTTGAACAGCTCAAGAAATAGGAGCCACTTAAAATAGGCCTTTAATTGAAATACAAGGGGTTGTAGCACTGCTTCCACGTTTTCTGCTCAACTCAAGCCAAGTAGGGTGACTTGATGGCAGTGACTCTCTGAAAGCACGAGTCTTTAATTCATCCATAACATCCATCAATGGTGCATGCTTCTCATGTTTTAAATACACAGTTGAGATTAGATATGTGTCCTAACAAAGTCTGTGATTCTTTATCTCAGAACCCTGAAACATTAGAGAAGGCCAAGGTGATTTTGCTTTATTTGGTCAGTCAAAGTTTCTCTCAAAGCTCAGTTGCTGGCTTCACCTCCCAGGATCCTGGGGGAACAGCAGAGGTGTTAAAGAGGCATAAAGGTTCCTTAGCAGCTGTTGTCTGAGAGAGAAGCAGGGCTTTCCCTGCTTCTTTGTTTCCACCATAGTTATTACATTTCTCAGAGTACGTTTTAAAACACGCAGAATGAGGTCTGAGGGTCAGTCCAGTGTGTACAATGCTGTTGTACAAAATCTGCCGTGATGGAGATTATACTTCCTTGAAGTGGAAGATCAGAAAGGGTAAGCTAACTTAGTCCTTGATTTGTTGTGAAAACTGAAGGTGGTTGCTAAAACCAGTAAATGTTTTGTCTCAATTTAAAATCACTGCAACAGGAGCAGAGGCATTTGAAGTGTTATCATTTAAACTTGGTTCTTGACACAGATTTCTGGTGCACAAAATCCCCACCCAACATAACAATGCTGCATATTCTAATCTTTATGATAGAACTTTTTATTTGGAAAGCCATAGCATGACGGTGTGCTCGTCTTTTTCCCCAGGTATACCCCTGTGGGCCGCTCCTTTTTCTCAGCTCCAGAAGGCTATGATCACCCCTTGGGTGGCGGTAGGGAGGTCTGGTTTGGATTCCATCAGTCTGTTCGGCCTGCCATGTGGAAGATGATGCTCAATATTGATGGTAAGTTGGGATTCAGGGTTAGGAATAAAGGTAATAGTGACCATGCCCTGAAGAAGAAAAATGATCTCATCATTCAGTCATTTTGCTTGAGTTGGTGGTACCATGTTTCTGTGTGGTGATAACTTTTGGTGCCATCAGTGCAGAGGATTTACTAACCAGGAACTACCTTCCACACTGATTTCTTGATTCATACTGTAGATAATAAAGAGTTAAAGAAGCTCAGGGGTATTTTGCTGGAACTTAGATCAGAATAAGAAAACCTTAAAACTTAATTGCATTATACACAAGGGGTTTTCACTTGAAAAATCCTTGTCTCATTGCTGAGTTGGGAGATTTAGTAGCTTTTTCTTGTAATAGCCTTATAAAATACATGACCTGTGAAGTCTACCTACTGCAGAAGTTGTAATGATAATAGTAGAGCGAGATTGCAATAATGAAGTGTAAGTATGCCTGCAATGGCTTCCCATTCAGTCACTTCAGACCAGACCAGTATGGCAAAGGCTACCTAGAAATCCCAGTCTTTTTCTGGATTTGTCATCGTGTCAGTGATGGCAGAAATGTACCTGCCAGATCAAAAAAACCCAATAACCCTGTAATCCTATATAGGAAGGAAAAGCCTGGCACAGCTTGTTTTCCTTACTGAGTTTCTGTGTTGCTGCATCCACAGTGGTTCAGGCCAGTTGCTTAAGATGTGTCTCCACGCAGCTGCCCACAGTAGGTGTTGTTCAATACTGGCAAGAAAACTCTGTAAACTTTATCACAAACACTTTTGTGAATCGGGCTAATTGAGAAGGGCTTTCTTATGCAAACTCAGATCTGCTTTGCTCCACTTTATTAAGCCCCAGATGAATGCATCTGAGATCAACTGGTGCGTGTGTCAGGCTCCCTGGCTCTCTACGAGCTCTGAGTCTATTTAGTTGCTAAACCCCTATTGAAAAATGTCAGCGTTTGAGATGCAGGTGCTGCCTAAAGTTTTCTCCAATTCACATTCTGTTCTCGCTGTCTGTTTGAAATGCTTTATAAACCCAAGGTAAATAGTCTGTCTTTTTTGCATGAGGCTGAGCATTCTGTCAGGTTACGCTTAGCATCTGTCTTGGAGCATAATAACATGTTGCAGGTGATAGTGAGCTTTCAGGCTGAGCATTTCCAAGTCCATGTGTTCTGGTTTGCTTCAGTTGTGGATGGTACCCATGTGGCTTCGTAGTTCGTGTAAAATTGCCTTTCAGTCAGCAGCTCTAGTATAGCTATTGTCTGAAAATGGATGTAGAAATCTTACCTGAGAAATAACTAGTACTGGTATCTGCGTGGTAGGGACTGCGATAACTACGATTCAGGTGGGACAAGAGTATTAATTCACATCAGTTTATTACTTTCTGTGAAGCAAGTGTGTCTTACCAGCATTAAAGCATAGCAAGTCACTCTTGCAGTTGTAATGTTTCAGTCCTTTCTGTGAATGGGAAGCCTCAGACCTGTGTAAGCTGCGGTTTACAGAGCACTGCCTTCATGTTGTGGTTTTAGGCTGTGAAGATTACCCCCAAATCCCGGTGCTTGAGTTTTGGCTTGGTTGTTTAACTTGTACGAGGTTCTCTGCAGAACGTGTTTGTGTCACTGGCGTTGCTGTGGGAGACAAAGCACTCGCTGCCAGTGGCTGGGGGGAGGCTGCTGGTGTTCATTCAGTAATCGACATCCGGAGGTGTGGGCCGGGTGCATCGTGTGAGGTTGGCAGCCTCCTCAAGTGACACATCTCTGAAGAATGTTTTGTGTATCAGTGCAGGGATGTGGTTTGGGGACAGGAGATGTGCAAAGCTCAGGAAATGCTGGTCAAGTGTTTCTTTTCTGTTGTTGCCACTTAAAAGTTTTAAAAGGCCAGAGCAATTTGCTTGTGTCTGAGCTGTATCTGGTGCCACCTCCCCTGTCCTACCAAAAGGTGTGGTTTCCATTGCTTGTCACTTTGTCAAGCAGATCGTTCATGGTCTTCTTGCCATGGAATGAGTTAACTGCCCTGCTCGGAAACAGTATATTGTCACTTAATGTGTCATTAGTATGCAGGGAGGGAAAGAGATTTTAGTAGATCAATGGTTGCCCTCACCGCTACACTAATGTAATTGATGCACAGTCAAAATAGTGCTCATGTTCCTACCAAATATTGTTTTAGTAACTTAGCAGATCATATCATTCACAAAATCATATTGCATATTGAATAATCTTGGCGTTTCATGTGAGCTCTTCAGTAGAGAGACATGAATAATGCCTCGGCTTGCAGCTCCATGCCGAGTTGAAAGAGAACGTCTCTCTGGGGCATTACAGTTCTCTAGAAATAAATGTTATCTGGGGAAAAAGCCTTTTCAAAACCTTGAAACGCAAAGTGGTTGCAGAATGCCTGTGCTGGAGACCGATTCCCTGTGGGCCCCACGCTGGCTCTTGTATACTCAGTTGTTGTGAGGCTTGCTAATCTGTTTAAGAAAGTGTGCTGCACGTTTGCTTGAGGGTCACGTGGAATGTTCAAAAGCATTCATTTGTGTACTGCTTCACAACAGCCTCACTTGGGCTTTCTGACACAGAATGTTTTGTTCTTTTTAGTTTCTGCCACTGCCTTCTACAAAGCACAACCTGTAATTCAGTTTATGTGTGAAGTTCTTGACATTCATAATATTGATGAACAGCCAAGACCTCTGACTGATTCTCATCGGGTAAAATTCACCAAAGAGATAAAGGGTGAGTAGGAACAGATCTGTTCTGTCCCAGGTAACACAATCAGGCTGATTCTAAGGGTTTTGTTTTAACTGGAACCCTGGTTAGCATGCATCAGAAGAGCCCTGGAACTGCCAAGAGAACTTCAGTGTGCCCTGTCTGTGGTTCTTGTCCTGAATGAAACAATGCAGCTCTACAGAGAGATTAAAAATGCTCTGTGTTCCAGTGGCTTTAAGAGGGCAAAGGAAAGCGTGTTGTTTACTGCCTGGGTAGAGGTAAGTGCTCCTGCCTTGCTGGATGACCAACCTTATATAAGCGAGGGTCACTGAGGCCACGGTTGTGTTGTTCTGTAGAGCTCCTGCTGTTTAAATGCCAAGGCAATGAGAAAATTGATTTCCAAGCTAACATCATTGATTCTTTGAAAGTAACTGATTGCTTTATGGAAAAACAAGTACCACTTGCAAACTTGCAGCTGAGGGCCAAATTGCATTCCAAAGAAATTGCATAAGCTGCTGGTTGGAGTAGGTTCACTCCATATATGCTACTTTACTTTGAGTATTCCCATATCCTTTTGTTCCAGTGTAATTTGCAGAGAGAAAAGCCTTGAAAGGGCATAGCTCTCCAAAGCTCCGCTCTTAAATACTTGTGTTACTTGATGCAGGATTAGATTCTATTGAAATTCTGGGCAGCAAAAAAGTAAATTTGAAGTTAGAATTTAGAAATAATAAACTTAGAACAGTCATTGGGGGGAAAAAATGTAATTATTTTGTAGTTGTCCTCACATGCCTCCTTCTTACATCTGCCCATCTGTCTTCATTCTGGAGAATGAGAAGCTGTCTCTGCTTGATCTTAGATGCCTCAGACACTGTGTTACCATAGTCAGAAAACCTCGAGAGCTTACCTTTGCTGTCAATATTTGGTTTTACTACTGTAGTATCCGGGAACTCCAGCCAAGATGTGATCTTCATAGTGAAACAAACCCTGCATTAAAGACTTGGCGGTCTGTGAGCAGCTCTGTGGGAGGGTAGTGCCTTCTGTAGTGTCACAGCAAATTAATGACAGAGCAGTGAATGGTTCCAGATAGCTCTGTATTCACAACCCTCTTTTCCTTGGCCACACTGCTTCATGGTGTCTTTTTTGTGTTTTCTCTTCATGCTGTATCAGGGCAGTGGGAGTTTAGTTTTGATGATGCCATCCTCTAATGCTGGTGTTAGTGTTGTCAGGAATCAATGAAATACGGTTGATACGTCTTTGGCATGTCTGTGTCCCTGGTAAACTGAACACAGTATCTGCTTTCTTGTACTTTGGGACCTGATTTGGTGTGGGGTATTCAATCCATTGCCCACAATCCACATGAGCCTCAACAGGACAAGTCATCCAGCTGCTTTTTCAAAAGCCTTCACTAGTAGACCATAGGTTGGATCTTCTGGATAACAAAGCTTTGTTTTTAACTGCCTGCTTTTCCACGGGCTGGGGAAAGACATAGCAGTGCATCAGTGCTATGCAGCACTTGTGTGATAAGCTCAGCACTCCCAGCAGATGTTGAGTCTACTTGCTGTGTACAGTGCAGACAGCGAGTGCCCAGTCAGTAGAAAGAGCCACTGAAAGCCTCTTGAAGCTGCCACTGTTGCTGCTGTTATTATCGTGGATAGAGAGAGATAAGCCTGGCGTGCCTCTGGTATGTAGGCTGAGTGCTTTTAGGCAAGATCTTCAGCTGCTCAAAAGCTCAAGTTAAATTTGGTCAGTGAAATGAAAGAAAATTACAGGCTGAATGAGGACACAAAGTTGGGGAAGTGAACAGTAAGGTAGAAATCTGGTTTTGCCCTTTTCATTTCAGTTGTATGGGAACTGCTAGTTTTAAGAGACATTCAGCACTGAGAATGAGAACAAAAGAAGATGGTGAAGACAGTGTCTGTGTCTGAGATTAGTCACACGCCTGTTAAACGAAGCTGCTACAAGCAATTCAGATGACATTGAATGATAAATGTTATACATTGTGATTTGGTTTTGAGGATAACGCCCGATTAGTCAGAAATCAATTAATAATGAAAGTAAAATGCTTAGAGAACATCATTTCTCCTGTTGTGCCATTTGACGCGGACTGTCGAAGCTGTTAGAACATGCTCTATTGTGTGAAGCCTCGTCCCCTGTGGAGATTTTTGTGTAGTTGTGACATTGTTTTCCATGCTCCTTTTCTGCAGGTCTCAAGGTAGAAGTGACTCACTGTGGAACGATGAGAAGGAAATACCGCGTTTGTAATGTAACAAGAAGGCCTGCAAGTCACCAAACGTAAGGCGCTTTTTGTCAAAGCATAAACTGTGATACCTTAACCCTGAATGTGTAACAGGGCCTAACATTGTATTGAATTTGGAGGGTGTTGGTATTTGCCAGCTAAGATTTCGTCCATTTTATTAAAATGTGTGTCTTTTCAGCTTTCCTTTACAGTTAGAAAACGGCCAGACAGTGGAGAGAACAGTAGCACAGTATTTCAGAGAGAAATACAACCTCCAGCTGAAATACCCTCATCTTCCCTGCCTACAAGTGGGACAAGAACAGAAACACACCTACCTGCCTTTAGAAGTAATGAACTTACTTTGATAAATCAGCTTGTTGTTGGTAGGCTGCGTCACTTTGCAGGAGGTTAAGAACTTGTGTGCTTTGCAGTACAAACACGTTCCCGTATTTACGTGCTTGTTCCTCTATTTCACTGAAGACTTCTTTAGTGCTTTAAAGTAAGACTATGCAGTTGATTAAACACATTGGGATGTGTTTTGTAGTGATAGTGTTGTGTATCGATGTTATGTTGGGATCAGTTTCTAGGAGCTCCTAACGTGTATTGACGATTCTGCCTTCCTTTCAGGTATGTAATATTGTAGCTGGCCAGCGGTGTATCAAGAAGCTGACAGACAATCAAACATCGACCATGATAAAGGCCACAGCGAGATCTGCTCCAGATAGGCAGGAGGAAATAAGCAGATTGGTTAGTTCTTTACTTTCACTTTGGTGGGATACTGCTCACTAAATGACACTGCACTAGATAACATGTATGCAGAACCTTCTGATGTGACCAGCCGTGTCTCTGCATTCCTTCCAGCCCCTAAGTTAAGAGATTTTAACTACTTCTTAAAAGAGGATTTATTTAAAATAGCTTGCAAATGTGGACCTTTTTTTCTGTTAGAAGTTTGGAGGTGGTGGCATCTTCTGTACTTGAGATGTTTGACTGCTTTCTGTGGGAAACACTACATATTTTCACCTGATAAGTCCAATATTGTTTCTTGATGCTGAATCTAAGCACTAAACATAAGTGTTTTTCTGACTTGAATTATCAAACTTGCATATTTTTGATTGAATACTCATAAACAGATAGCTCTCATTGGAAGCAGTCTGGTTTTAAGCTGACAAATTAGCCATAATTTTTCAGTTAAAGAAGGCTGTTCTGGAAAATTCAGAAGACCTGAATGTGCAGTAATAGAATAAACGGATTTGATTTGTCTTGGGTTTGCTTGTCTCTAAAGGAGGTTGCTTTTTGATCTATCCTGTGGGTAAACAAAGTGCTTTTGAGTGAGCATGCTAGGTGAGCACTTGAGTAACTAAGGGAACACAAAACACATTATCCAATCTATCATATCTCAAGGTATTAATTATTTTCACTGGAAATCGGTTGAGGGTGTGAATCTGAGCCTTGTTCAACAGCGGGGAATGGTTGTAGAACCCTTCCGCAGCAATCCTGTTAGTCTTTTGTCTATTCCGTGGATTGTGAGTAGATACTTCTGTAACATGGGAAAACTCTTCCTTTAGGTGAGAAGTGCAAATTATGATGCAGATCCGTTTGTTCAAGAGTTCCAGTTCAAAGTCCGGGATGAGATGGCCCACGTGACGGGGCGCGTGCTCCCCGCTCCGATGCTGCAGTATGGAGGACGGGTGAGGTGTCTGCTCATTCTTCTATTTCCCTTTTGAAGAGTGAGTTCCTGTGCACGTTGACAATTTTAGTCAGTTCAGTTGCATTGTGCAATACAGGGATCAGAGTTTGAATGGTAGAACCTGTGTTCTGTTATCCTGAAACTCCACACACATAGGCTTTTTCCTCTTTCACTCACTTAAACGTCTGTTGCTTTTGTTTCCACAGAATCGAACAGTGGCAACCCCAAGCCATGGAGTATGGGACATGAGAGGGAAGCAGTTTCACACTGGTGTTGAGATCAAAATGTGGGCCATAGCTTGCTTTGCAACACAGAGGCAATGCAGAGAAGAAATATTGAAGTAAGGCATGTCGTGGTTCAGGCTTTGAAGAAGCCATCTTAGTAAAATCATGAATGTAGAACTTCTAATGAGCATTTTATCTGGTTTTAATCATTGAAGATATTAGGGCGAGAATCCATTCTGGTTTGCTTCCTGACTGGAAGCTACAGTTAAAACACTGTACCTGAGTACACTGTGGGGTTCTGGTCCTGTGATATTGCTGTTTTGTGGAGAATTTCTTTTGGCATCTTGAATGAAGCACTGAATGTCTCTGAACTCCTTTTGTGTCACATTCTGGCCTTTAAAGCTGTTTGGAAGTGTCTCCATTTGAGTAGCACAGTTCTGCTGTCCCCTTCTGCTTTGATTGGTGTGTGATACTGTGAAAACTCGAAACACTTCTCATCCTTAGGGGTTTCACAGACCAGCTGCGCAAGATCTCCAAGGACGCAGGGATGCCCATCCAAGGCCAGCCCTGCTTCTGCAAATACGCCCAGGGTGCAGACAGTGTGGAGCCCATGTTTCGACACCTCAAGAACACCTATTCAGGGCTGCAGCTCATCATTGTCATCCTGCCAGGGAAAACACCAGTGTATGGTAAGGGAATACTTCTGTCTTTACCTTCTTGGTCAAGTATTGTTCTGAAAGACTTGCTGCCCAGCAACGTTAGAGCGTTCTTCAGGATCATTCTTTGGGCATTAGAAACCAATATTTTGTGTCCAAAAATAAAATCACATGGAAGCAGGTACATAAGTTGGAAGTTGTTTTGCAGAGTATGTACATTTAAATTATTGTGACTTAAGCTAAGCTCACAACAGAGCAATAATTTCAAAGGGACTCAAGTTGTATCCTAATGTTTGCTTCTCAGCGGAGGTGAAACGTGTGGGAGATACACTCTTGGGAATGGCCACGCAGTGCGTTCAAGTCAAGAACGTCATTAAAACATCTCCACAGACCCTATCAAATCTGTGCCTGAAGATTAATGTTAAACTTGGAGGAATCAACAACATCCTTGTACCTCATCAACGGTAAGGCTTTGTGGAGACTGATGTGGGGTTTCTTTTAACAGACGAGGTTACGTTTGCTGCTTAGCCAACCTCCAAGTGCTAGTGTAATCGTCTTGTAGAATGGTAGCTTCTGCAGGAAGCTGTTTGTACTGTGTGTGTGTAGCTCTGTGGTGTTTCTCCACTAGAATCATGCCACAGTAAATGGCAGTGTTTTTTGGAATGACTGCTATGGTGGTGTTTTGAAGTTCACGTGTTGTGCACAAAGACTTCATTGTCTAGGTTTGGCCAGAGGGCCTGATAAGAAGGCTTCTCCATGCAGCTTAACTGAAAGAGAATCAAAACCCCACAGTGAGCAGTAACCTTGCAACAATGTTCACCTCCAGTTGTGACTTAGCCCTTTTTTCTTTTTGAAGACCCTCTGTGTTCCAGCAGCCAGTGATCTTTTTGGGAGCTGATGTCACTCACCCTCCTGCTGGAGATGGGAAGAAGCCTTCTATAGCTGCTGTAAGTGTTCTTAAATTAGCATTGTTTTTTCATCTTAGGTAAAGGTTAGGACAGTAAATGCAACTCCTGGACTGTGGCTGTGTCAGATGTCTTCCAGGGCTTATGCCAGTTCTTTGTACACATTTCCAGTGTTATTAAAAGTCATGTCTTCAGAAGAGCCTGGTGCTTCAGACTTTTCTTACCTTGATTTAAAAACTAAAAAGCTAAAATGGCAGTTCTGTTAAATAATGTACTGCTGCAGAACTGTTCTAAAGGCAGCGATGCAGCTTTGTGATGTTAGCTAATAACACTTTTGAATCTTTAAAGAAGAAAATTGTCATTAAAGGCCTGGTTGGGCAGGAATGGTTTCGGTAAGTCTTACCTTTTGTGTTGGTAAAGTTCAGGAGGTCAAGGTGATGGTTGGATGCATGGTCAGTACCTTCATATTTTGTGCCCTTGGTATTTTACTTGCCATTGATGGCAGACTCCAATTCTACAGATTCATGTTGAGGTGCTTAGAGAGCAAGTTTTATACCTGTTTTAAGAAGGTGTTAAACCTGTATCTCTTAGAAGTTTCAGTTAAACGTGTTACTGTGGTTGATCCTTTAACATAAATATCTTAACAGTCACTCTTCTTGGCTATTTTAGTGGGTATAGATTTGGTCCTGAAGCCTTTCCTCATGTAATCTTCCCCTGAAGGTTGTAGGTAGTATGGATGCTCATCCAAGCCGGTACTGTGCCACAGTGAGAGTTCAGCGACCCCGGCAGGAGATCATCCAAGACCTAGCCTCCATGGTGAGAGAGCTCCTCATCCAGTTCTACAAGTCAACACGGTTCAAGCCCACACGTATCATCTTCTATAGGGACGGGGTCTCTGAAGGACAGTTTCGCCAGGTGGGTTTATTTGTGGGTTTCTTCAAGGCCTTTGTTACTACAGAACAAGTCCAGTTCCCGTGTTTGAGTAGCTGTACTGTTTGAGTTGCTTACATTTACACAAAGGTACCACAAAATAATTGAGACTTAAGGAGAGAATTTCTTAAGCATGTTGGGTAAGAAAAGTTCTTTCCTGTCTGGGAAGGCAAAGTCTTAGAAACTGCTTCCTAAGATTACTAACTGTGTGGCAAGGTTGCACTTAGTATTAACTACAGACTATTTATTTGGTGTTGTGTGTGGGATACAATGGAAAGAAAGCCTAAACTATTCCATTCTTGTGTTTATAGGTTTTGTATTATGAACTGCTAGCCATTAGAGAAGCCTGCATCAGTTTGGAGAAGGATTACCAGCCTGGAATAACCTATATTGTGGTGCAGAAGCGACATCATACACGGTTGTTCTGTGCTGACAGAACAGAAAGGGTAATCATTGCCCTCTCTCATAGTAGCCTTATGTGAAAAGCTTGATGTCAAGCACTTAAGCTGCTGGGGAAAATATTAGTGTGGGCTTTTCTGAGTTTGAGTGTCTTTGCATTCAGGGGAGATGTTGAATAGATAAGCACAAAATGCAGCCCAAAATTGAAAAATGGTTGACCTTAAATATGCTAAAAACCCAAAACACACAAACCCCATAATCCCCAGCAGGCTTTGTCACATTGCCCTTGTCTGTCAATGAACTATGGCTAATGTGTGTGGGACAAAGTAGAACCAGGTCTGCAGCAACTGTGAGAGAAGAAAATACAAAAGGGAAAAATCACTTTTCTTCAGAGTGAGTCAGTCCAAACTCAAGCTGACAATTCCAAATACAAATGTACGTGCAGTTCTTCTGCCTTTCTGAGACTGAAGGTTCTAAAGGGCTTTAAGTGCAGTGTTCTGTATTGAGATGGTAAGTGCCACACAGTGTCCTTGTCAGACGTCCCTGGCTGCTCTATTGACGCACCGCAAACTGTACTGCGGCAGCTCATTCCTGGAAACCTTGTGTGGGTTGAATAGAAACTTGTATTTGTAATCACAGTGAGATGGATAAACAGTTGTTAGCTGTACTTAACAAAACCTTTCCTCTAGGTTGGACGAAGTGGCAATATTCCAGCTGGAACAACTGTAGATACAGACATTACACATCCGTATGAGTTTGATTTTTACCTCTGTAGCCATGCTGGAATACAGGTACGGTTGGTTCTTTGAAAATGAATGTGAATTTAGAACATATTTTTCTCGCTTTTGTGACACTTGTGTCTACAGGCACTTATTTAGTAGGGAAATGTCATTTAGCGCAGTTTTATTTGGGACATCACAGTACTTTTATGATTTATAGCCCCAATGAAATTAATGTGGAATCAAGTTTTCAGATGTAAACCATTTGAAAGGCTGAAGGCAGTGTTGATTTGCTGACTAAATGCACACTGCTGAATTACAGGCTGTGGAATTAAATCCAACAGTGTGGTGGTATTGCCAGCAGTACAGTGGAGAGTCAACTTAATGACAAATTCTATTAAGATATGGCTTAAAAATGGCAAAAGAAATCCCTAAGGAATTGTAAAGAGTTAAAAGCAGCAGTTACTTCTCTGGGAAATGTGTTTTGGTGAGAAACAGTTTTAATTGAAGGTAGTTAAGAGCTAGTGTAATCATGGCTTAGTCATGTTGGGAGCAGGTTTCAGTCGTTGAGGGTTATCTAGAAGGCATGTGGTTTTTTCCAGGCAAGGATAATGGGGTAATATAATCGTTTCAACGTTAGACTTCTTATTCACCTTCATAAACACATTTAGGGCTGACCCAAGACTGTCTTTTCTCTGGCTGCTGTTACACAGGCGTTCAGACTCAATAGCCTGGCCCTTTCTGAACCGAAACCTCTGACTTGATTGTATGGAAAAACCAGATAAGTGAATTGATGTTCCCTTCTCCTTAGGGTACCAGCCGTCCCTCACACTATCATGTTTTGTGGGATGATAACTGTTTTACTGCGGATGAACTCCAGCTGCTGACTTACCAGCTCTGCCACACGTATGTGCGCTGTACACGATCAGTTTCTATACCTGCACCAGCGTATTATGCTCACCTGGTAGCATTCAGAGCACGATACCATCTCGTGGACAAAGAACATGACAGGTAAATGAAAACATGTGCCGGAGGTTTTTGTCCCTGTTGCTCTTTGCTCCACTGTCAGGCATAAAGCCACCTGACTACAGGTAATTACTGCTTGTTTTGCAGTTAATTTCTGTTACCTCTGAGACTAATCTTAAGATACTCATTTCCTGACAGCTGCTGCTCAGGATGAGACGAGAGTGGGTTGGTGGATTCAACTGAAAAACACTCAGAATAAAAGAGTGAAGTTTAGTTTAATGAAGAATTCGGTTATTACTTTAATGTGGTCCGAGGGAACAAGCCATGCGTCTAGGGGCTTTTTTGCTATATAATTAGAGTCTGTATGAATGAAGCAAATGTTAAGTGCCTTCCGCTTACCTACCATTGCTTTGTACAGCAGGAGTATTTTATATGCTTTGAGCCATCAGTATATTTATAATAGGCTTATTTTGAGATGAACAAATGGAGCAGCTAAGGTAAAGGGGTATGTCAAAAGCCTTGGGGTTGCTGGGTGCATAAAGCAGCCTTTGCTCGGTATCCAGTTCTGTGACTTACTGCCACGTTGCTCTCCTAAAGCAGAGGTGCAAAGGCAGCTTTTTGTTCCGAATCAATGCAATTCACTGCTTGTTTTTGTCTCGTTCTGTGGCAGTGCTGAAGGAAGCCATGTTTCAGGACAAAGCAATGGGAGAGACCCGCAGGCCCTCGCGAAGGCTGTACAAATTCACCAAGACACCTTACGCACGATGTACTTCGCTTAAATCAATAGACGGGGAGCATACTCACTGAAAGGAAGAACTGAACAATTAAGCCACATACAATGTATGTTTCCAGTGGGGTTGGTTTAGGGGGTGTGCCTCCGATCGTGCTGAAGTTGATGCTGTGCAGGGGTGAGAGGCTAAACCCTTAAATTGACGCAAGGAGGATTGTTTACTTCATTGAGGAACACAGCACTATTATGCAATATGAAACCAGCCAACTGCTTTCTTGGTGCGGGCTCCTGTAGGCAGCACCACCATCATGTTTTAGTTTCGTTTCTTTTTTGACTCTCGTAGTTTAACCCTCTTTAAAATGCCTTTACCTCAAGTTGCTCGGCAGCACAACTGCAAAAAACACAAAGAATAATGAGAAAATTGATGGTGTACTTTAAAAGAGCAAAGCACCTCTCGAGGAACAGTCCCAAGGATTGTTTGGGAAGTGTGCAAAAAAAACTCCCCGAAACAACGAGTTTTGTACCCCCACTGCATTGAAGAATCTTTCAGTATTGCCATTAAGCATTCAGATGTCAACATATCCAAGTACATTTGAATGCACATCACTAATTAGAAACGGCTGATTGGGGGGAAGATGTTTTGCACACTGACCCAGCAATTCGAGCCTAGTTTAGCCAACTGCTGCCTCTGTGTCTTTCTTCACAGCTTTGGAGTTCTTGGCTCCAATAGTTCCCTTTCTAAAAGCAAACAAAGAAGCTAGTGGTATTATGTGCAGGCAGTAGTGATCCAAACTCGTCTTGCTCCCTGGTGAATTTACTAAAGCTGCTGTTTTACCTAGTCCAAAAGTTTCAATTCTTTTCTATCTGGCAAGTCAAATATAGTGAAGCTTCACGTGAGATCCAGTGTCCCACGTTTTCTGGGATGACACCTACTAAACACCAGAACTGAAACTTTAGAGCTGAGGTCTTTCTGGGAAAAAAAAAGAAATGCTAGTTTACTTGCTGCCTCTCACACCTTAATGTGATTTCATAATGTATGTGTTTTTGAAGTTTAGCTTCCTTTTGTTTCTTTTATATTTATTAGAGTAATAATAATGCTTTAATTTAATGATGACAGAACATATGGTCAACATCAACTTTTATTTTTTAGAAATGTAACCATGTTTATTTTGAAAAGCAACTGACAACTCGTTTTGCTATCTTTTAGTGCAATAAGCGTTCTAAAGGAAAACTGTGTCCATTGAGCTGTGCTGAAGCAGTGTTTGTACCACTAACTGTGGAAGAATGGACACCTCCATGATTTTAAAAGGACAAAGTAAAAGCCTTAATTTTGAAAGGAAAGTTTTATAGTCAGAAGGAATCTTGAATTTTCCTTTTTTAAATCAAAAACAATAGCAAAAATGCTTCTAGAACTCTGCAAGCTTTACTTGTCACTGCAGGATTTTGATTTAACAAAGGAACGGGCCTTATTTTTGGCTTTGAAATGTGGAAGATATTTGAATTAAATGGAAAGAGTTTTTTATTAAGCTCTAAGTTTATACATGTGTAGCTAAATCTATTTGACATCACTGAAATGTCTGGAATTAATAGAAGTTTTTAGGCTTTTTTCCTCTTTGATAATGACTTTCCTTTTAAAATTAAGTTATTGGTAACTTCATTTCACTTTGCAAATAAAGAGGGCTGGGATAGTTCTAACATGTTAAATCACTGAAATGTGAAACAAATTAATGGGACTCTTTCATTCCACTTTAAAGGTAAAACAATATTTAAGATGTCAGAGACAAGCATTTATTCAACGAGGGGACTGGGGAGTTTTGCACTTTGTAAACTCGTGAACTGCATTTTTGACTGTTTTTATTTGCACTGGTTCATAGTATATATACTGCAGATCCTTTGTATGGGCATTGCTGTTATCCCAGCCCTTCTGAACTCCACCTGCTCTCCACATGAAAACCAGTGGGTTGGTTTAAGTAGCTCCTCTCCTTTCATTCTCATGAAATCCGCTGTTTGCCAATATACTGTATTTTGAGCCTAAAATCTGAGCCCAGTTTGCTTCAACAGGCATGAATCTCCCCTTTTTTTTTCTGCCAGAAAACACAAGTACTGTATTTTGTGCATTTGCATATTGTATTGAAGTGTACGTAGCGCTGTTCACACCACTGTCTCAAAGAGCTTTACCAAACCGCTAGTGTATATACATATTTTATCGCCCACTATCAAGGAGGATCATGTAAAAAAAGACTAACTTTGCAACGTTCAATTGCACTGGAATAGCTGTGACAGTGGGCAGCTGGCTCGGGGAGCCTCAGAGAGAAGGCAGGACAGGATCAAGGGAGGCTCAGCAGGCCAGGATGTGTCCGGGGATCCCTGGGGCCTGGGGAGCCGTGTGCCTTCATCGGCTGCTCCCACAGACCCCCAGCCATGCTCCTTGACCTCTTAATGCACTTGCCTTTCAGCCCCTTCAGCTAAACCTGCTGCAGGAAAGAACTAGAGCAGGATGCTTTCTGAGGCAGTCTCTCCGACGTTTTCCCTCCTCTGTGACCTGACAGTTCTCTCACAGAAGCACTCGAGCTTGTGGTTCCGTTTGGAAAAGGGTCAGCTTAGGCTTTTTACAGACAATTGTTTTGAAATAGATAATTTTTTTAACAAAACCCAATATTTTACAGAGACTTCTTGTGCATTTCTGGCATCCGGATGAAAATTCCTTTCTAAAACAGTCTGTTAAAGCTCCTTTCAGAGACACCATCTGCTTCTCATCCTGCCCACACTCAGTGACTACGATTTGAGAAGCTTTTTTGGCTTGCTACTTTCACCCAGACCTAAACTAAGGAGACTTCAGTGGGAACAGGACTTCAGTGGCTTGTCGAGCTAGCGTTTCACCTGGTTTTCATGTGAAGAGTATTTGGAAGTTTTAATCTCTACTCTTGGTTTTGCAAATATCTACGTCAAGTGCCGATACTTATTTGTATTACAATATCAAGTTACTGACGTTGTGAGGGCCACACATTTATGATGCTGTAGCTGCTATATTTATTTAAATGGAGATGGACAATTACTGCACTAAGGAATGAGGAGAATAAGCAAGGAATCAAGGTTAGTTAGAGATCTTGGTTTGTTTTTTCAGAAGAAAATTAATGGTGTGAAATATCAAGTGTAACAAAGGGTGCTGTCATTTTAACTGAGATTAAATAGCCAGATATTCTTCCTTTGTTTAAGAACATATATATTTTGATGTTTGCAGTTGGGGGGGGGGTGGGATAAATGGTACCTCATCTGTGGTGGCAGTTTCCAGTATATTTTCAGAGTATATGGATTTCTTTTATTTTTGTACCTGCTCTCCTTTAAAAAAAAAATAGAAAAAAAAATTAATCTCAAAAGCTTATGTGCTGTTTGGGGAAATCTTGAGTGAGATTCCCAGATCCCCCCTCTGCCTGGGAGCTGTCTGTGTATGGTCCAAAGAGGGATGTGGGTGATGGCTGACAGCTCTCTACTTCCTTTGCAGACAGCCCGGCCTCGGGTTTATGCCAATCTAGACAGACGGTTCCTGTCTCCTAGGCTGCTGTACCAGTTACTGCAGGAGACCTCACTTGTACCTAACAAGTGCCACTAATTGCTCCTGTGGTGGGAGCACGCACAAGGGCCCAGCCCTGGGCTGGGCAAGGGGAGCCTTTGGGCATCAGCCACACGAACCTGCTGCACTGGTACCGTGCCAGCAGCCGGAACCGCTCCTGGGGCCGGTGCAGGGCTCTGTGACCTAGCAGAAAGCCAGCCAAAACCTGTGCTCTGGCGACTAGTAGATCCAGCTTTGGAGAGGAAAGTAGAGTGTTGTGTGGTTGAGGCGTTCAGCTTGCAACATCTGCTGTCAGAACGATGAACTCCACTCGAAGTAGCTTCTTTTTCCTTTGTAGGGCAATTCAGCTGTGGCCATTTGACTCAGGATCGCTGTGTTAGTGTTCAGTGTGGAATCTGGTTAAACGTGTCCAGCAGTTGTTTTATAGCCTTCATTCTGGCATCTTTTTGGAAGTTTGTTGGCCACAGAAATGGTTTTCGGGAGTAAAATGGGTTTCTGGAAGCTGTCAGTCAAACTGTTTCAAGATGCTATTGGTCCTAAAGTAGTTTCACTTCTCCATGTATGAATTTTTGTCCTATAAAATGCTCAATGTAAGATACTGGATAGTCAACTTCTGTACGAATTCCAGCTACGAATACTGATTTTCTACTAGGCTTGAAATCCACTGTGGAGAAATTCCAAGCTCAGCCTATGTTTAAAAAAGCTTGAGGCCTTTTTTTTATATATATATATGTACTTTCTTCATATCTTGTCTTCTTTCAGTTTTATCCCTTTTGTGAACTGAGGGTTTAGAACCTTCCTCAAAGCACTTTTATAACCAAGGAATCAAAAGCTCCAGTTATGTACATTGAAACTATACATTCAGCTTTCAGAGAGCATTATTTCTAGCTGGCCATCCCGGTGTCTGGTCACACCAGGCAGATACTGTCCCTTTCCATGCTGTGGTGTTCCGTGGCTGCTCCTGGCAGGTTGATTGGATCTAGTGGGAAAAATCTGTTAGGGTGTCAAAGGGAAAGATTCCTGTCTGGCTTTTCTACTTTAGACCGATACTGGGCACTAGGGTATGATCTTTGTTTCGGCCCATGTTCAAATAAAGCTTTATTTAGCCAATTCACACATTGTTTTTTGTAAACCTGAAAAGATCATGGTTAGAGCTTGAGCTTTTCGATGCTTTCTGCTAGTAGAAGGTTTTGTACTGTCGGTAGTTGTGAGATGGGTACAGGATCCTACACTTTACCTCCTTAGCAGAGTCTCAAGAGTCCTGATCTCTATGACACTACAACAAAACCAAATTGTTGTCCCCAAGTAGGCAAAGGTGCATGTGGAGGGGAAGGAGTTGAAGGGAGAGGCTTGTGAGGGAAGATCTCGAAGCATTGGTTTTATGGAAACAAGGGTGTTGATGGAGAGGTGCCATCCTCGTGCCCTGGCCTTTTCCTGTCTTGTCTGAGGTACCCCCTCACCTCACACGGGTAGTTAACATAGGGTCCTTTTAAAACCAAGCAGTTCCACTGTTTAAAACTTGGAGTGATCTTTATTTTTTTTAAGCAAGACAGTCCTCAGAAAGTGCCTTTTTAGAAGATGGTGCTGTAGATTTTTATTTTCCAGTTGTACGTGGCTGAAAATCTAAGATAAATTATTGAAAATGCCAAGTGTTTGATGGTATCTTTCAGGTACTTTCAAGCATCAGCTTCTCTGAGTCAGGACCAAGAATAACCAGGAAGGTGTTTTCCCTTGGAGGGAGAGGCATTGAGGAGCGATCACCAAATTCAGGATCAGGTTTGATTTGGTCAATGCAATTCACCTCTTCACACTGAGGGGATTTGGGGATGGAAATGTAGAAGCAGCAGCACGGGAGTCTGGGCGATGTAATCAGTGCTGAAGGGGAATCAATAGCTACTGAAGGATGTCATCTCTTCGGCGTAGCGTGCTCCCAAAGATGTAGACAAACTCAAAGCTGTCTCTGAAGGCTTAGGAGATGGTCAGTCCTAAGCAAATTTGTTTGGGTGGTTAAAGGAGTGGTGTGCCATGTATCGATGGGCCTGGGGGTACCAATACACTGGGTGGGATGGGCAGTGCTGCCCCACTCAGGGCTTGGGTCCATGGTGAGTTTGGTGAGCATTCCTCCGGTCAGGAAAAGTTGTAGACTAGACTATTAAACACTGCACCTCAGTAACCTTGTAATGCTGCATAAAGTAATAATAATAGCAAAGTTCTGCTTTGATTACACTGTAATGTGCTTGCACATGCCTGCAAAAAATACACAACTTTCGTTTTTGTAACGGTCTTAACAGCAGTTTTCAGACTTCTTTTCATTTATGATGAACCTTGTCCTTTATTGTGGTGTTCCTGTATATTTATTGGTAATCTCTGTGCAGCTCATGGGTCTGTGTGTCTGGTCTGTGTGTTGCTTTTAACACTTACTTTTAGGAGGGAGAAGTTTCTGAATGTTTGGGGTTTCTTCTCCAAGGTCAGCTTAACTAGTCCTGTTTGAGAGGAGACAATAAAACACCTTCCTAGACAGAGTGCTTCAGTTGGTACCTTGTTTCTTTAAAGCAGAAATGAGTTTAGGTTCATTTTGTTACTGTTCATACAGTATTGGGCATTTCACATGTGGAATATCTTGATGTCGGTCAGGATATTTTTGAATATCAGGAGCTTAAGCGCAAAACTCCCGCTGTTATTGCAAGTGGCATCTTGGCAGGAAGAAGTTCATGTCCAGACTCTTTTAGGACTTAGCAGAGCTTTTTGACATCTCTTAATTTGATTGATGAGATATTTGGGGTCACCATTCCCCAAGCGGGGCAGTGACCCACACCTCGGTGTTGAAAGGGATGCTCAGCACTCCCGCTGCCCACCGAGGCTACGGATCAAGTATTTTTTGCTGTGTAGATTTCTTCTGATTCAAGTTAGAGAAATGAACTGATGTTTCTTGTAGTTTGTTACCAACCTTCTTGTCTTACTACAGTGCCCAATGCCACTTGGTATTTAAGCTTGCAATGATGTTAAGTTATTTTATCTTCCTGATCTCTTAATGTTACTAGGCTAGGATTTAGAAAGCATCTTTTCAGTCTAAAGTCTGAGCCAAAACTCTGTCTTCTGTCCCTGTTAGTGATAGGTGTTTTTATCTTTTAGACAAAAAGGGCCAAAAATCTTGCACCATCAGCTTGTTTGCAGCAATACTCTCTTCCCTTGCCTATCAACCAGTTTATTTTCTATCTACATTTCACTAACACCTGAAGCTGTTGAGATTTAGAAGGAAGTTGCTGCCTCTTCTTTCTACCAACAGAAATGGACTTTGCATCTAATGATGCTGGTTTCTGTTGGGCACGGATCTCCTCCTAGAAGTCTTGCTTTGGTCGTGATGAACTGTAGCACCCCTGGGTTTAATCACAGTAGAAATGTTCTGTATGTTTCTGTTGAAGTCATTGGAGGGTGCATGGGGATTTAAAGTATCCCATTTAAATACAAGCTAATAAACTGCTGAAGATGTAGATACTCTCTTAAAATACTTCAAATATAAAAAGAAAAGCCAAATGACAAACCAAAAACTCCGCAGTAACCTAATTCACGTGGATAGTTTTAACTCATCCTCCTTCCTGGCAAAGTTTGAGACTGAGGATTTGCTGTAATTGATGCTCCTCACAGTAAATGGTGCTGGGATTAATCCTAAAGCTGAGCTGACTGAGCTGTGTGCTTTGTGAAGTGGTAGTGGTGACTGTGCTGTTAAACCAACAGTAAGAAGCTCTAAAACATGCAAGGAGGAAACTTGTGTCTGTATTGAAAAAGCTGGATATACTGCAAAAAACTCATGCTGCTAAAGCCTTGTGAACCTGTCTCTTTGTACCCACAGTTTACCCTGAAAGACCTTACATGACTACTTCAAAAACTAAGGGGAAAAATGAGGGAAAAAGCATTTTCCTGTATTTGAGTGCCTGTTCACATCCTACAAGGCCAGTGCTGAGAAGCAGGTGGCAGTGCCTGTAACAGCTGTATAACTAAATCAAACTGTGTTTTATATCTCAACCTTTTACCTGGTTTGAAGCAGATGCAGGTTCCAGCAGATCGGTGCTATCTGAAACAGCAGAGCTGAGGGGTTTGTGAGCAGTATCTGACCCCTCCAGACAACACAGATGCTCTGGTAGGTTTCTGGTTGCAGTTTTCATGCAGTTCACACTGAAGTGTGCCTGGCTACCAAGAAAAACAGCAGCAGGCAGTTGTGGGGTTAATTCTGCTGTAGCACTACAGTTGCTCTGCTTTTCCTCAGCTCTTACCTACCTCCCTGTTCCCTTAGGCAGGATGCTCTCCCTCGCTGCCTGTGTAGAACTAGCCGTGTGGAGGATGCTGTGGCTATGTGGAAGGTGAATCAGCTCTGGATGTGGGAGAGGTGTGATAGCGATGAAAGCAACAGCCTGTAGAAATAAAGGACTGGGTAGGAGTTGGGTGGATGTGAGGATTTTCCCACTTCAGGGAAATCAATGGGAACATCAAACATGAGCTGAGGTGTCCTGATCTGTTGGTGTCAGACTTGAGCTCACCAAGAGCGAGCATGTGCCTTTTTCTGATCAAGAACAGAACTGGGAAAACTTGGGTTTGCATTGGTAGGATGGTTAGTATGACTCTTGAACTGGTTTTAAAGCTTGAAGTCCTTGGTCAGGATGGAGTTGGGTTTGTGTTGAATTACTTAAGCAAAGTGAGCCCTGAATTATTTGTGAATTAGAACTACCCAGAGAGGAGAAGCCTCTAAAAGAAGTGGCTTCTGGAGAGTATTGTCATCAAATAAACGTAATTCCTGGTAGACTTGCAATTTGTGTTTCTCTATCTAATGAGAATCATTAATTCTGCCTTTATCTGAATGCTGCCTGTCCAGTAATGTCTTCACTCTTTACCATGCTCCTGCAGCTTTCCATACACTCCATTGCTTCTTCCCCCGCATTCCCCTTTGGTAGTTGTAAGGACAAGAAGAATGTTGGGCAGGGAATGTCAGGGAGCAGAGGTCTGATTAAGTGTGGGAATGTGGAGGTGAGGATTCAACATCATCCTTCAGGAACCAGTTTTGCCAGCAGCTGAGGGTAGTGGTGTCTGTAGAAAACCGTGTGGTCTCTGGGGTATGGAAGGGGTTAGCAAAGTGGTACACGGGGAGAAAAGATCCCCTATCCTCTGATACCAAGGTACTAGGAGAGGGAAGGCTCTTACAGACTGTGTGCTGTGCTAAAGTGAGCACCTGTGTCCTTAGATGCTACTTTGGGCTTAAAGCTGCTAAAAAAGTGGATTTTTCAGACCAAAATCAAAGAGCTTTTCAAATCGGTTGGTTTTGGTGCAGGTTTGTGATACTGGTGAGTTATCCGGCCGGGAACTCTGGTCTCAGTGCTGGCTCTGAAATGGTTTCTCTCCCTGACCTCGGCTAAACCACCCTGCCTCGCTTTTCACCCTATCTAGAAAACATTTCTGATGATTCACATGGCCTTATGAGAGCTAGCTCTTAGTGTTCTGAGGAGGAACCACGATGTGGAAGCGCTGTCTCCTCTACAGAGCTGAGCACCTTCTTGCATCTTCAGCAAATACAGTTCTGTTCAGAGCCCATCTCTTACGTGAGGATGTGCTCTACACTTAATCTCACTGCAGCTCTGCCAAGGAAGGCTGTTGGGTTTGGTCCCATGGTGTTTTTACCTGTTGCTTTCTTTTAAGGAAATCCATTTGTTGCAGAACAGACTGTCAGCGAGCAATCTCATTTAAATGCAAGTTGGGCTTTTTTTTTCCATTGCTGAGGATTATGTAAATCTTTCAAACACATTTGGAAGTTGGAAAATTAATACCTACTGTAATACTACCTAGCAACACAGAAAAATATATGTTGAGATCAGGGCTGTGCAAGCCCATAAATCAGTCTACAACCTGTCCAGGTGTGCAAAAAAGAGCTATTAAAATAATAACTCCTAAACTTTCATAATGCTTACACTTGGAAATCTCTTGAATAGATTTAAACCCAGTTTCTTTGATAGAAAATCCATGTCTTGCTGGTTAGTGCTCACTCAGACGTAATAGCAGAGTAATACCCACTGGGGCAATGCTGAATGTGAAGAACCTTTTGAAGTTTGGGAACCTGCTGGTGAGCCAGCAAAGTGGAAACTTGAGTAGTGCTCTTGAAGTGGTGAGGCAGAAAACCTCAGCAAGAGGAGGATTGCTAGAGATGAAGTTTGCCTTCTGGCAGTTTGGCAGTGAAGAATGGCTTCTTTTGGGTACTCGGTTTTGTACATCGCTTTCCTCCTGTGGTTATAGGGTTCTTTTAGTTTTCTTTGGACTTTATTTCTATCCTTCAGTAAGATGTTGTCGTTTCTGCAGTTTTCAGTGTTGAATCTAGCCTTGAGACAACTTAATGTTGTTTTCCTGTAGAAAAACCTGCTTCTAGAGAGTTGCATTTGGTGTCTGTTCCGCAGGCAGTTTGGAAAAGCTAACCTCAGCATGGCAATAAAGTCAGCAGAACAAGTTTTTGGTCCGAAATGTTGATTTTACAGGCTCATTGCCCAGCTCCTCCTGCCACAACCAGCGACTCCGGCATAAGCACCTGCGTTTCACAGCTTAGGTGCCGCACTTTGGGCTCACAGGGTACGCAGATCCTCCTGTTGTATTCACCTTTCCTTCCCTTGCTGTAAGCAGTTCAGCTTCCCCAGCTCGCCTGTCGGTGGATTGAGGGTTGTCATGGGGAAAACTGAGGTTGTCTGGGGAAAAACTGGGCTGTTTGCATGGCCTGGAGGTGTCTGATCATGGATAAAAGCATTGTCTATCAGCAGGTATTACTTTAAAGCTTTCACAGTAATTGGTAGCATTCGGTTGTGAGCCAATATGGGTGTGTAAGTATCTTCAGGAGAAGGTGGCATAGTGTGTGCCATAACCATTGCTAGTGATGGAGCTGTGTGTGTTTAGGAGACTTCTGGAAGCAATGTCGTGCATATAAATTTTGCGTATTGAATACCATATGTTTGAATTAGAAATATTGTGCTGTTTGGGATTCCTTTTCAGAGTAAAATTCCAATAAACCAGTCTGGTGAATTGAGATTCCCTGATTCCCTTCTATGTGTCTTGCTCTTAATGATATGCTGGTAACTGCTCCCTCGTTTTGGTGTTAACCATCGCTTGTTAAGCAGGAACTTGACTGTGTTCCCACCATGAAGGTACTGGGGGATGGGATTTGAAGCAAAAAGGGAATTGTTTCAAGACCGAAGTCGAGCCGTGACTTGAGACATTGCACAAAGAGATTGTAACCGGATGGCAAACAAACTGGTAAAAGCCTTTATTTTTACTTACCCATCTCGACCATGTGTGCCTATTTGTATTGCGGATGTGGGCTGTGGCCGTGCGGGGTGGGAGGGCACCCATGCGTCGCTGTGTCCCGAGCTGTCCCCAAGGGCTGGACATGGTCCCCTCTGCCCCTTCTCCCTTTGCAGATGGATTTTTCCTGCCAAACTTTCTACCTGTCCCCAGCTGCTTTCTCTCCAGCCCAGTAAAACCTCCCCTCCTGTCCCCGCTCCTTCCTCTGTGTGACTGTGCGTAGGACACGCAGCGGTCCTCAGCTCTCTGCTGGCTTCAGTGACCATCGAGTTGGGTGTATTGTAAACGAGCCGTATTCATTTGGAAAATAAACTTTTCTTTCTTTTTTTTGTTTTTTTTGGAAACGCATATGTGATGTTTTAATTATTATTTTTAATACCCTCACATCGCATTGAGCCGGGGTGCACGGAGGGGGAGGCGCTGGCCCGGCCTGGGTGCTATCGGGAGGGAGGTGCTGTGCATCTCTGCCATTAAACGGCTGTATTTTCTCACTTGGATTGCATTTAACGCCACGGGGTTGTTTTAAACCCGAGGAATCCCTCGTGGAAGTGCTGGCATCAGTGGTTTCAAACCCTCCTGCTGCCCTCCAAGCCCGGAGCTGTGCTCTGGGCCGGGGCCCCGGCTGCCCTCGCCCCTTCCCGTTGGTTCTGTGTTGATTAAAGCCGTATCCGTGATAGTGACCGGTTTCGGTGCTGTTTTGCCTCGGTTTGCAGCGTTCCCGTCCCCGTGAACCGCTGCCCCCCCCCCGCCCCGTGCTCTGCGGCCGAGGAGCCCTGAGGGGAGGGCGGGGAGGCCCCGCCCGCGCTGCCCAGCAACGGGGCCGCGCTGCCGGCGGCCGTGAGGGGAACGGACCGGGACCGGGAGGAGACCGGTGAGGGGAGGGGGGCCGGGAGCGGGACCGGTGAGGGGAGGGGGACCGGGAGCGGGACGTGGCGGTGAGGGTAAGGCCGAGAAAGCGGCGGGGCGGGCCCAAAGGGAGCAGCAGGGCCCCGACCCGGAGCAGCTGGGGTGGGTGCCCTGCTCAGGGCGGCTGGAGCCCAGGCCGGGGGAGGGCCCCTGTGCCCCCCAGCCCCAGCCCTGCTGGCAGGCTGCCTGCCTGCCTTCCCCCCCAGGCTGCTCCCCAGCGGTCTCTGGTGTGTCTGGGGCTGCCCAAGGAGCTCCGTCCCACGCATGGGATGTTCTGGAGCCAGGCTCTGCCCCAGATCTCCTCCTAACCTGTGGGGTTCGGGGGTTTCTGTGCTGCTCCGTAGGGCTGAACAGGGTGGCCAGGCGGGTTGCTCTGTGTATCCCAGCCCTGCAGAGCCTCCAGCTCCCCTGGGGCCGCAGCCTTGGCCTGAGCCTGCACCCGTGTAACAGGAGCGGTAATCAGCCGTTTTGTCCGAGCTCAATGAATACCAATGGGAGACGGTGCAGTGAGCACCTCCTTGTCCCCCTGCGAACAGCACCATTCTCCAGGGCTTCCTCATGGCCTGGGACAGAGAGGGGCTTCGGTTCCTACCCCTGTGCTTCCCCTGCTGTGTGTCTGCATTGTGCTGGATGCGGGGCTAGCGCTTGCTGCTGCCTTTCTCTCAAAGAGCTTTCCGGGTCGTGGCTGCAGCTCCATTCCAACGCGTTCCTGTGGGCAAACACCAAACCCTGCCCTCCCTTTCAGCCCCTGCTTAGGGCCATGGCCATGCTGAGCACAAAGCCGGGGCAGAGGTGCACTGGGCCGGATGGGCTCAGCAGCTCCCAGCTCCTGTCCGCTGCTGCCCAGCGCCTGCGCTCTGCTTCCCACCGCGTCCGGCAGGAATCACGAGCTCTCCGCAACGAAACCAGCAACCAGGTGGGATGTGGGGCAGGGAGGCTGCTCCCGGCCTTGCCAGAGGAGCAGGCTGAGGAGTGTGGGGCTATGTCAAGACCTGGGTGTACAGATGAGGGGATAGGAGAAGGCTGTACCCATACAGAACATGTTCAATCCTCCCATTCCCTGTGAACCCACATGCAGTGATGCACACGTACTGTCAGGAAATCCCTGACAACTTGCGTTGTTTTCTCTGCTGCCTGCTCATGTGGATGATCATTAGACCGAATGGCAACGTGGTGCTGTAGTCTGGGGGGGGGGGTCAGCCAGGCCTGAAATGGGGAAAAGCTTCAGCAATATTCACATTTGCGAGTTAAGAACAAGAGTTTCTCCCCTAATTCCAGGCAAAATGGGATGAGCACGACAACCGAACCCGCCTGGCTGAACGTATCAGGAGCGTGAACAGATGGAAGGAGACCCTGGACAAATGCCTCGCAGATGTAGATGTGGAAATCGATGCCTTAGCCAAAGTATGTTGGGAAGACAGATGGCTGGGAATCAACTTACACCCTCAACACGGGATGTTAAATAATTGAGGCTTTTCTTTTGCAATGGGCAAGCCTTTATGGAGTTCGAGGGGTTTTATTGCAGGTCTACAAAAACCCATACCTGATGAAATGGCTTCACTGTGTTCTTGGCTGAGCCATGCCATTTGGTGGAGCTGTGCATTGCATGCTCGTGCATGGGGTTTTGGGTTGTTTTTGTTGTTTGGGGTTTTTTAAAGCTCTGAAGGATGATTGGAAATACATTAGCAGCGTCATTCACAGCTGCTTGATTTTAAATAGAGGAAAGCAGTGGGACCTCTCTCTGATTCTTTTACTTCTAAACCCAGAGGATGCTTCTCCTGCAGTCATTAGACTAGCCAAGGGCAATGCAAATAGCAGGTCTAGAAGACCAATGTGCTTGTAATTTTCATTCCAGACTTGCTAAAAGGTTTCAGAACTGTCAAGACAGGCAGTGCAAAGCCCTCTTAACAAGGGTATTGGAGGGTTCCCCTTCCTTTCTTCCTCCCATCCCTGAAGGAGACTGCATCCACCCACCAGGTTGCTTCTTCCAGGTGAAGGAGGCAGCAGAACGTGCCCTCCAGGCAAAGAACCTGCCTTTGGACGTTGCCATTGAGTGCCTGACACTCCGGGAGAGCCGCCGCACCATCATCGTGGTGAGGGACCCTGTGGAGGAGGAGCTGCACAAGGAGGTGAAGCTGGTAGACAAAGCCAAGAGAGAGCTGCAGCAGAAAGCGAGTGAAGCCTTCAAACAGCTCTGGTGAGGCAAATGTGACCGGGCTCTGTCCTCCTTGCTTGGCCCCAGAGGTTTAACATGCCTCCAGTGCCATGCTGAGCAGTGTCAAGCAGACCAGGGGGAGGGAAGCACTCGCAGGAGCCTCTGAGGGTTGTCAATGTCTGTGGGGTTTGAGGTTGTAGGGTAGAGCATGTCAGGGGAAAGACTTCATCAGCATCCTTGGAACACTGTGGCCCAGACCGATGCCTTGTGCCACCTGCCTTGGTTCATGACCTGGATGGAGGTGTTAGAGCTCTTGGGCTCTAATCCATGCTGGGTCACTGCCCTGCTACAGGAGGGTGGGCAGCTCAGCTCAGCAGCATCATGCTGGAGCAGAGCATAGGGGAGCCAGGCAGGCTGCTTTACCCAGTTGAGCCAGGTTCACTGGGAGGGCAGGAGCTCATCACTCATCTTGAAAAGGTGGCTGATGTGGTGAGGGAGGCTTTGGAACATCTGAGCCGCCTCCCCCTTGGCGCGCTCACTGCTGACCCCAGCCCTGCTTTCTGCAGCCTCTTACAAGAAGCTCGCCAGCAGCTGAGCAGTGACCACCAGTGCAAGATGGAAGCGTTGGAATTAGATCGTGTGTGCTTATCCCTCAGCGTAAACTCTCCCAACATCTCCTTCAAGGTCAACCCAACTCAGGTCCCAAGCAGGTAAGGAAAGAACCTGCCTTTGTGTGGCCAAATCCGTGCTGGTGCTCAAAGAGCCCTGGGATGCTTTTTCCTTCTGTGCTCTATCCCAGCTTGATGGGTGCAGTTTTGGGGAGAGCTCTGAACAGGAATTGGCTTCTGGGATTTGTTGTGGCTCCCGAATTGTGAAGCCACAGACTTCTGGGAGTTACCTAAATTGTCACCACAAAACCAGAGGAGCTTGCTGCCCTGCCTCCCTCGTGCTTGGCTACCCAGTCGCATGGCATCAGCCTCTGGCAGAGCTTATGGGGGGGTCTTGCCCCCATTTTCACTTTCTTGGTGTTTTATAGCATGGTTTGGTTGTGACTCTGTTTTGAGCAGCATTGGGCTCAGTGCAGGAGCCATGGGGTAGCAATTTCCTGCTGGTGTAGGAAATAACACAGAACACAACCTCCAGAATTCCTGAGTCATTTTGTGCTGCACGAAGCCACCTCGGCCTGCAGCAGGTGGTCCCTTTTGAACCATCTTGCAAATACTCATTTTCATAACTGCTGCTTTGTTCACAGATCAACGACGGTTGATGAGTGGGAACAGAAGAGCCAGAGCAACAAGGAGCGTGCTGAGGCAGAACTGAAAACCTCTGCTGAGCTCCGAGAAGCCACAATGCTTGCCATTGCCCAGGTAAATTAGTCCCTTTGGTGGTGCAGTTCTGGACCCCACAGGGAGAATGAGCTGGCATGTGCTGTGGCCAAGGGAAGGGAGTCTTTGAAAAGAGCACTGACCCATAGGCCTCTTGTAAGAGAGGAGCTTGATGATGCTGTGGAGCTTGCAGTGGTGTCAGCAGCTTGGGAGACACGTACCTGTCCATCGCTCCCTGCCTTTTGGCTGCAGGGGCTGCAAGGCAGCCAGAACCCAGCTGGTTTTGCTCATAGGCTTGTCCCAGCGCAGCAAGCAGCAGCTGGGAAGGAAACATCTTCTAGATGTGTGTGACTGGAGCCTGTTCTCTCCTCAGACAAACAACGAGCTGGAGGCTCAGCGTGTAGCTACAGAGTTTGCCTTGCGCAAGAGGATCAGAGACCTGGAGAGCGCCTGTGATGAACTGAAATGGCAGGAGCAGAACGTAAATGTTGCTTCTTTGGTTATCAACCACAATCTTGGGTGGGAACTGAACCCAAAAGGCTGTTTGTTATGTGGAAAGTTATTTAACCTGAGCATAGTTTCCACATGGGAGCTGTTAAGGGACACATCTGTGATCCCTGCAGTATCCTAACTTCTTCTGCTGTCACAGTTGCTGCTTGGGGATTTCTCAGCAGCAGTGCCAGGTTTGGCCTATTAATTTCAACCCTGGTCTCAACTGCTGTGTCCATAAACCACCAGCAGCACCATGCCTGGGCCATGTGAAAAGCCCAAACCACAAAGCAGTGGGGTTCAGCACTTGGAAGTGCAGCAGCCCTGGTGTCAAATCTCTTCCCTGCACAGTAAAAGCCTGGGAGGCCTGGGGGCTGTGTTCCAGTCTGTGTCCCTGCCTGTCCCTCACGAGAGGTACCTGTACCCTTAGACCTTGGAGGAAGTTGCTGAGATGGAGGAGGAGATCCGATGCCTGGAGGAAGAGCTTCGGAGGGAGATGCAGGATCTGAAAGTGGCACACACCCGCCTGGAGACCCGGTCCTATCGGCCCCGTGCAGAACTCTGCCGGGATCAGGTCCTGCCAGGAGGGACTGGGGGAACTGCCTGGGCTCGGGGCTTGGTCTGAAAGATGTGGGTGCATTTGGAGGAACTACAGTGGGGGTGAACTCTGGGTCCTACAGTCAGCTCAGAGCAAGGAAACAAAGGCTCCAGCTGGGCTAGCAGGGGAGGGAGAGAACTGAGGGCTTTGGGGCCCAACACTTCAGCCCTGCTCACTGCCTTCTCCCTCCCCACCTCGCAGGTCCAGTATGGGCTAACAGATGAGGTGCACCAGCTGGAGGGAGCGATCCGTGAGCTCAAACAGAAGCTGGCAGAGTCACAGTGAGTGTCCTGCTCTCTGGGCAGTGTGCTGGACCAGCATTGACTGTGAGCAGCCGTGGAGCGAGCTCGCTTCCAGAAGCTGTGGTTTTGAGCTCATGTCTGTTCAGCTCAGGAGTGGAAATAACTCTTGGGGCTTGGTGGGGAGCTGGGCTGGGCAGCGTGGTGCAGGTGAGGCAGCAGAGGTGTGTGTGGTGGGATGGCAAAGGGGGTTCCCATGCTCCCTGCTTGGTTCTGGCTTCACTGGGCACAGACAGTTCTAAAAGGGGAAAAAATAATGGGTGAAAAGTGGAGGAAGAAGGAGAAGGGTTGGGCACATAGAATCATAGAATCCTTGTCCATAATCAAATGGTTTGGGTTGGAAGGGACTTTAAAGCTCCTCCAGCTCCAACCCCTGCCACAGGCAGGGACCCCTTCCACTGGAGCAGCTTGCTCCAAGCCCCTGTGTCCAACCTGGCCTTGAGCACTGCCAGGGATGGGGCAGCCACAGCTTCTCTGGGCACCCTGTGCCAGCGCCTCAGCACCCTCACAGGGAAGAGCTTCTGCCTAAGAGCTCAGCTCAGTCTCTCCTCTGACAGGTTCAAGCCATTCCCTTTGGCCTGTCCCTACAGGCCCTTGTCCAAAGCCCCTCTCCAAGCTTCTTGTAGACCCTTTAGGCTCTGGAGCTGCTCTAAGTTCTTCCCGGATCCTTCTCTTCTCCAGGCTGCCCCAGCCCAGCTCTCTCAGCCTGGCTCCATAGGATGCTTCATAGGAAGCACGTGAGCTCGCTGCTCACAGCCCCAAACTGGGCTGCTCAGCACCAAGAACTGCCTCATGCCTTTGTTCTTCATGCAAAGGCCACCGCTGCACAGAGATTTCTGCTGCCACAAAGTGGGAAATCAGGTGTTTCCCACCCAACCTGGGCAGTGAACGCGGTGCCTGAACCCAACTCCTTTCACTTCTTGTTCACAGGGATTCACGGGATGCTCTTTACCAACAACTTCACTGCATCCGGACAGATCTTGGCTACAAAACGAGTTCCCTGGTGCTGGACAACAAGTGCATGGACACACACAGGAAGCTCCTGGTCCCCTCCGAGAGGTTTCTGCCGGAGGCTGAGACTTTCCCCCGGGCCACAACGCGTGTGGACGAACGGGCAGCAGGAGCTGCTGAAAGAGAGCGCTACTGACTGCATTCCGTGGCGAGGGAAGCGACATCTGTGTCGTGTTAGGAGGATGTAAACCTGCTCCCTCCTCCTCGTTTATTCTATAATTGTCTGTGCCCCCCCAGCCCCTGTGTGATGCTCCCAGGAGCATCGCGAGCAATAAAACCACTCTGTCCCCAAGGTAACTTTGTCATCTGACAGCGCTGGAAGCGTTTCCTGGCAGGGATTGAACCCATCGGGGCTCCTGAGTGGTTGAAACCCTTCAAGGTGTGAGGCAGGGCTCGGCAATGGGACAGGCTGAGGCTGGCAGCCCCCGGCACCGCCTCCTTTGGGTTTGTGCGGGTTTAGGCTGGGATTTCCCCTCGGGGGGAGCAGTGATGGAAGCGGATGCTGGAGCCTGTTCTGCCTCCTTGTGGCACCGGCTTTGTTCAAACGAACTGAAACCTCAACGCTGTTTCTATTCCAGGCACGTTCTTCAATCACAGTGTCTGCACCGGGACCGGGACTTGGCCCGCTTTGCTCTCCCGAGGTGGGCCATGACACTCGGCAGGCTCCCCGGGGGATGGCAGGCTGGGGCTCGCTGCTGGGAACGAGGAGTTAAGGGAAAACCCAGAGTTTTCCCAATCCATAGGGAAATGGGGCCCCAGCTTTTTCGGGCCCGCGCAGCCGCCGCGCTCCTCCAAGCCGCCAGGGGGCAGTGTCCGCAGCAGCCGCCCCCTGGCGGCCCGGAGGAGCGCGGCAGCGGCGCGGTAGAAGATGGCTGCGGCGGGGTCGGGGTCGAGCTCAGGCTCGGGGCGGGCGGCGGCGCGGGCTCGGCCGGGACCCGGCCGGTTCCGGGGCTGCTTGGCCGGGGCGTTGCTGGGGGACTGCCTGGGCGCCGTGTTCGAAGGCAGAAGCGTCGTGAAGCTGCCGGATCTGCTGAGCTTCCTCCGAGGCCTGGAGCCGGCGCCCGGGCCGCCGGATGAGGGCGAAGCGGCCGGCAGCGCCCGCAGAGGTGGGCGGGAGCACCGGGAGCGGGACGGGGGTCGGGCCTGGCCCCAGCACCCCACGGATTCGGGCTTTAGGGTGCCCCCCCCCCTCCCCCCAACCCGTGGGTGCCCCCGGCACGTTTCATGTATCGTGCTGGGAGCCGGGGTGTCAGCAAGGAGCAGAGGTACCGAACCCGGATTAGGAGTAAGAGAAGCACAGGAAGGCTTATTGAACACTTGGCAAGCAACGATGTGTTGCTATTGGGGTCCTGTTTGCAGTCATGTCCATAAATGCAGCAGTCCTTTCTCTTCTCATCAGCAGATGCTGTAAGATCCTTGAGAAAGCGACTTGTCTCACTTGTCCGTACGTGCCTCTGGGTACCAGACACTTCCTCTTGATTGTGACTGATCTGTAAATGCACTCTGGCTCGTCCTTGCTGTGGGTGCATCTCTCTTGCTCTGTTCCTTGCTCTGATGACCACAGCCAGTGACAAGCTGAGTGCTGGGCAGTCTCTGGTAGTGTTGCAGTCCAGCTGTACAGGGAATTAGGCCTCAGAGAACAGGGAGGTGCTGGCAGTGGGATGGAGAGGAGCAGTTCTCTGGGTGCTCACGTTACGTTTTGACTTTCTGTTCTAGAAACGCTCTCGTACACGGACGACACGGCCATGAGCAGGTCCGTGGTGCAGTCCCTGCTGGCCAAGAGGGAGTTCGATGAAGTTGATATGGCCAAGAGGTAAGGACTGCAGCAGCCTCGGGCTGCAGTGTTGGCATTTATCAGTGAAGGCAAAACTCCCTTATGTTTAAGCAGCCACTGTAATGTTCTGGGAAAGGGGGCAGGGGCTAAGGCACAGTCATTGTTAGTCTGTGGAGGGGGAAAGAAAATAGGAAAGTGATGGCTAATCCTGTAATTCATTGTGTGCTTTGCACTGCCCGGGAACAAGCAGCAGCATTGGTTCTAGCACAGCTTCAGAGCCTGCCTTGAGTGAAGCAGGATAGGACTCGCTGTGCTGCAGCTGTGTGTGTATATCCACCTGGTGGAAGATGAGGCTTAGAAATGGCAGAAGCATCTTCTTTCATGTTTATTTGTTGCTATTTGTGTTTGTACTTCCCTTAATTCAGTTAGTGAGTATTAGTGAGGTCAGCTCCAGTTTGTTCATGATCCATTTCCTTTGTGAATCCACAGCCCTGCGAGCATTTGGTTCCACTTAAGGGAGAACATTTATTTGTTTAGAAAACTCTTCCATTGAACTCGAACAAAAGACTTTCTTTGTGGTTGTGACCCATGGAAATGTTTCCAGTTTGCTTCTATTTCAAGGCAGAGTCGAGGGAAAGAAGTGGGTTGTGAGAGGTGATGGTTTATGCACCCTTTCCTCCTTTCACACTGGGTTTTTGGGAATCAGATTCTTTCCCTGCAGAACTGAATCACTTGGGCCCTGGCTGTCATGGGATTACCCATATGTTCCTAACTCACTTTATCAACAGCCTCTTTACGACCTTTGGAAACAGACCACATACCCCCTGTGTTTTTCCTCACCTGCTGCGCTCTCACCCACACCAGGTTTGCTGAGGAGTACAAGAAGGAACCCAACAGGGGCTATGGGATGGCTGTTGTCAATGTCTTCAAGAAGCTCTTGAGCCCCAAGTGCAGTGATGTCTTTGAACCAGCAAGAGCCCAGTTCAATGGGAAAGGCTCCTATGGCAATGGTGGTGCCATGAGGGTGGCAGGCATCTCTCTCGCCTACTCTGATGTCCAGGATGTCAAGAAGGTACCGTGCACTCTGGCAGTGCTGCTGGCAGGCTGGGCTCAGCAGGATCTCTCACGTAGGCTTGCTAAGGATGTGTTTTCATTCCCAGTTTGCGAAGCTGAGTGCTGAACTGACCCATGCCAACTCCCTGGGCTACAACGGAGCCATCCTGCAGGCCCTGGCTGTGCATCTTGCCCTGCAGGGAGAGGTCAGCAAAGAGACCTTCCTGGAGCAGCTCATTAGCCACATGGAAGATGTAGAGGCAGATGATAAGTCTCTTACTGACGCACGAGCGTAAGTACTGTGGGGAGCACTGACTCTGCTGTGTACAGTTTATTCTGAGTTCACATTCTCTTTTCTCCATTGTACTCTTTGTTTCCAGGCTGGGATTTGAAGATTTACCCTTTTCAAGGCGCCTAAAGAAAATAAAGGAATTCTTGGAACTCAGCAGTGTTCCAAAAGCAGATGTATTGTTTGAACTGGGTAAGTACCTTTCTTACTCTAAGTACTGGGAAAGAGCTGAAAGCAGGACTGACTCAGCCAGCCTGGCTGACGTGTCCTCCCACAGGTTGCCACTTCAGCCTCTGCTGCCTGTAGGCATAGAAAGTGCTGGAAAATTACAGGCTGTTGTGCTCACCAGCCAGTAATTTGGAGTCTTGACCCAATGACTCCCTCTTTGTACAGGTGGGGAAGAAATGTCTTGCTAAGAAAAACTTAATTGTGCATATTTCTTAGTATTCTGAGATCTCTTGTCCTAATGGCTGTCAGATCTTCATGTTGGATGTCTATAGCCAAGCTAGACTGGTATAGCTGGATGTGACTAGGACTGGGGAACTATGGGGAGATCTTAGAGATGCAGGCTTGTGCACCTTGTCATGGTAATACCACTAGTGAAAGCAACTGGCAATAGGAAGCTGTGGTTAGAAGGGAAAAGGGCCTTCTGTGGGAAGGAAGACAGGAATGTTCTGCAGCACTGATGATGCCTGGCTTTGTTACAGGCAATGGCATCGCCGCTCTGAGGTCTGTCCCTACTGCGATTTACTCCTTCCTGCACTGTATGGAGGCTGACCCAGACATTCCTGATCACTACAACAACCTGCAGAGGACCATCATCTACTGTATCTCTCTGGGTGGAGACACAGACACTATTGCTACCATGGCAGGAGCTATTGCAGGAGCTTATTATGGGGAGGAGCAGATACCCCCAAGTTGGGAGGAGAGCTGTGAAGCTTTTCAAGAGACACGGAAGCTGGCAAATAGCATGTATGAACTCTACTGCCAGCGGCTCTGAGCGCCGAGGGGAGCGTGGTTTGGAAGGCAAAGGCAGATGGTCACCTCTGCTTTGCTGGCCAGGATCTGGTGGTGGATCCACACTGCAGGCACCTGTGAGCCTCCACCTGAGCCAGATGCTGCTGTGAGCTGAGCTGGAGGCACAAGCTGGTTCAGAAGAGGAGATACACCCTTCAGTTGCAGTTTGGCTGGGAAGGGGCTGCATGTGGCACTTGGACAGTGGGTGCATCTCCTCTGAAGTGTACAGGGGCATCTCGTTTCTCATGAGATTCCTGCTGCTTGCTTTGTCCACCATTATGCCATTTTGTCATTGCAGTTATTCGGTGGGTGTCTGAATTTACTTTCTTGCTGGTTCCCTCTGCTCCACTGTGCTGTGGCCTTTGTTTCAGTGGCCTGTCCTGCAGTGGCTTAAATAGTCTCCACACCCCTCTTAAAAGAGCAGCTCCCACTCAGTCACCAGTTCAGGGGTGGAGGTGGGAGCTGTCAGAGGTACTTCCCTGGAGGATGTCCTGCATGCAGCAGAGCTTGCTACCCTTGTTGTGGAGTGAGGATGCTGGAGGGTAGATGTCCCAGGGAGGTTTGCTTCCCTGAAGGCAGAACGAGCAGTGGCAGAGGTTGGAGAATGGCTTCCTTTGCATTGCTGGTAGTGCTGGGAGAAATGCCTTTGGTGCATGCAGGGTCCCTGTTGCTGCTGGAAGGGGGTGGGACTCATTACTGCTCTTTGCTCTGTTATCTACCTGGCACCATCCTCATCTATTGCATTCTGTGGTCCCTTACACGCTGGCTTTCACATGGCTGAACCTGCTCCTTTGTTCCAAATCTGTGCATCCTGCATTCTTAATGCTGTCCTGTGCATGTCCAGAGCACCACATGAGTTGCTGTTTAAATCTGTGGGTGAGGATAGTTGTGAAACCTGGTGTTTAACAAGCACTGAACTCCTGGTTCTGCTGCCATCAGTGACAGAAACTACCTCAGCAGGAAGCAGGAGTTACTTCTTACAGCTTTAAAACTCTGTGCTTGGTAAGAATCATTTGAAAATAAAGGGAAATGTAGTTAATGAGGGGAGAATTTATCCAAGTTCAAGCAGTTTGTGCATCTGAAGCTGGTACTGGTGACTGAGAACATTCTAGCAAAGCTGGGCTGTTCCAGAGTCTTGCATCTAAAACCTTTGCCTAGTGGAGCTGGTCAGAAAGGGAGCAATAGCTTGGATATGGCACATCTAAAAAGGGTTGAAAAGCTGTGTAATAATTGAAAACAAAAAGGAAGGAAGAGGCAAGCAGTCACCATATGGAAATGTTTATAATCCTGACTGTGACCATGTAATTCTCTGTTATTGCTCTGGTATTCCTTGTGACTGTTCCCTGCTTGCTCCCTGCCAGCGGTGGTGGTGTGGGTCAGGCTGCAGGCACGTGTGGAAAAAGTGTCTGTGGAAAACCAGTTCGTTCCCATTCTTCCTGGAGTCTGCTTCCTCCTAGTGCCCTTGTTGTGTGTGACACTGTAATGGGCTTTCCTTGTATAAGCGAGTTCTTGTTCCGAGAGCATGTGGAATTTCAGTCTGTTGTATATTGATGTATGGTGACGCAGATCAGAGATGGACAGAGTCAGGTTTTCCACATTATTCTGCCACAAGTGTGAACATATTCATGTGATTATTTAAAGAAAGAGATTTTCCTTTCAAAGCAGCTTTGTAATTGTAAATGTTGGGAACTCACAAAGAGCGGAAGAGCTCCTGTTCAAAACAATAGAGCTCATTTGAGGGCAGAATTGAAATGTGTTCTCAAACACTGGGCTCTGACTTCCTTGGAGAGAAATAAAGTCACTTGGTTATCTTTTATTAGCCACTGCTTCTCTTTTCATTCAAGTTGTGAAGTTGTGCTTCTGTACTAAATGACAAGAGGAGTTGCCAGGCTGGTTCTTCCCACCCTGTACTCCACTTTAAGACTCAACCTGAAACCACTTTGCTTTGGCTTCTTGAAAGCTGTAGAAAGCAGAGTGGAAGTTGTTTGGTGCTGGACGGAGACATCTCACATGTAGCCAGGACTTGTGCTTCGTTTGGGGTGAGTTTGAGCACTGGAAATGTGCTGGAAAAACCACTTTCAGGCAGCCCCTTTTGCCCGTGAGCCATAATGGGAGCTAGAGGTTTACTGAGAGGCCCTTTTCTTTTGCAGGCTGCATCTGCAGTGAGGACCAGCATGTGGAAGGAGTTCAGCTGCCAGAGCACAATGTGCAGCGATCACGCACGGAGCAGGGTGTCTGCTGCGTGCTCCCAGCACTGGTGGCAGGAGAACCACTTGCTCTTCATCACCCCCTTTTGTAGGAGTCAGCCCACGTGGCGGCCAGGCTTGTCCAGAAGCGTCACCTGTGACAAGGAGCAGCTCCTCTTCCAGGTAGGAGATCAGGTGGGAAGATGTATGTTCTGTGTACCTGTAGCCTCTGGAAGCGTTTTGCTCCAGGTGATTCACTGTTTCCTCCATGTGTTACTGAACGGCTTTTGCTGCTCAGGATGTGGAGGTTGGCTGTGGATGAGGTGGTGTAACATGGTGAAAGCAGGCATCATGGTGAAAAACAGGAGGGAATCCCAAACACTTTGCCTGAAATGTTACAGTTGCCGGTGTGGAAGGGTCTGGATCTCATCCTTTTCTAAACTGAACATCCTGAGACAGGAATCTTGTCCTTAATCACAAGAAGCAGGCAGAACCTTCTGATAGGAGAACATGGTTGATGAAGCAGATCTGGGAACAGGTAGGCTGGATTTGAGATGGAGACAGCACAAGAGAGCTCTATGAGTGGTCTTTCTAGCAAGGCTGAGCAAGCCCATTAGTAACAGGACAGAGGCACAGCTGAGGCCACCTTTTATACAATAAGTTTTATTGATGTTTTGTCAATACAATCAAGTACTGCAGTTTTAGTTCTGAAGAGAAGGCCAGTTTCTGATCACAAAAAGAGTGCATTTTAAACCAACTTTACTATGACAAACAGTGCATGTAGTAAGTATTTACAAAACTAAAAACCTCTATATACTAGGTTAGAAATGAAGATACTAGAGGCAAATTTAACAAAAATAGTAAGAATTTGTATATAAAAATGCACATTGTAACGCAGTTTTCATAATTAAAAATAGACATACTTCATCCAACCCAACCTTTTTTACTATTGTGATTGAAACCAAAATCCCATGCGCTCACACACACCACAAAATAATCCTTTCTGCTGGCGAATATCACATACTCAGTATTCCAGAATAAAAACTCTTCCTGACAGTGTCCAGTTTAGTGAACAGCCTCCCTCATCCTGTGCATCGTTTTATTTCTAGCCTAACTATGTGCTTGTTATATCTTTGCCTTTCAATTACTGTGTAAATGTAAGAGGTTATATAGCTGCGGAAGGTTGATTATGGTTTATGCTCTGCACATGAAGGGAAAGTGAAATAATTGCAAAACAATATCTACAGCACTGAAGGAGTTAATGTCTCGGTGTGGTTATAATGAGTAATTTTATCATTGCTTTTTTGCCAGCTAGGACAAGAAGTTTAGAATAAAAACAGAACAAGAAGAGAGGGAATGGAGGTTAGAACACAGTATAAATAAGTCGCTTTGCTGAGTAACAGGATGAAGCTTCCAACCTGGCATGGGAAGCTCCTGGCCCTGCTGCAGGTAGTGTGGGCAGTGGGAACAGCATGGGAAGCTCCTGGCACCTGCTCCAGTCCTTGGCTGTTCTCCACAGGGAAGAGGCTTCAGTAAAGGAGACACAGGCCCCATCCTAGCACCCTCCCAAGCCTGGGCTTAAAGAAAACATCTGAGCTTCCACTTCTCACTTTAGGGACTCTTTGTATGGCTCCTGTTCCTGCTGGGAAATAACCTGTTATGACCAAAACGCAAACGGTCCTGACACCCTCCTGCCTTTAGGAGCTGAGAACATCCAGCAGGATCGGACACCGGGGCAGCCCTTCAGCTTGGGAATGTTTCTTCTTTGTACAAAACTTGAAGCTTTATGGGGAGAAAACCCCAGGGAGGGGGACGAGCCAGCCCCAGACAGGCAGTAGCTGACACACTGGCCTTTCCACTGTACATTTCTTTGTTGTCTTTCTTAATTTCAGGGATAGGTGTGTTTTAAAAGGCAGCCCTGGATGGCAAGAGGCAGAAACACAGGACAGGCTTAAGGAGAAAAACAAACTGAACAGAAATGGAAATAGAAAAGTTGTTTCAATACCTTGTACAGTTCATCTGGAGAACAATCCCAAGCCCCACTCTTGCTACATTTGCTTTGGCCATTGAACAGGCTGTAGGAAAACTTAAGGGCAGTAATTGCTCAGCTGGTGACCAGATTGTTGCTGTTTTCTCAGGGCTGTGCCTCTGCAGAGGGACACAGTGTGTAGCACGTGTGGGTTAACTTCAGCAGTGAGCTGCTGCATCACTGGGATGAGAACAACCATCCTACCATGAGAAAGGCTGCAAGCAACAAGGGTTCAGGTGCTCCCTTTACCAAAGGACAGAGCAGCCAAGTAGTCAGGATCATGCATGGAACCTCCCAGCTCATCCTCAGGTTGGTGACATTTCAAGCATGAGTGAGACAAAGTGGTAACAACAGACAAACGGGATTATTTTCTTTCAGCCTAAGTCACAGACTGGCACCTGGAATGGGGCTTTGACAGGTACATATTGCACTAGACTCGTCAGTAACATTGTTAAGTAGATAATAGCACCGTGGTAGAATGACTGAATGGAAAGTTAGAATGAATGCTCATTTTTTCTTAATTAAAAGATCCCCAGGGGAAGGGGGGAGTTTACACATCCCGAAATAGTGAGACAGTAAAAGCAAGTTGTCCATAAGTGGCACTTTGAGGGGAGCACAACTAAACCTTGTGTCAGACCAGGCTAGAAGCACCATAAGCCAGGCTCGCAGTGCCATCCTTGTGTTCTCAAAGAGATGCTCATGAGGCCAAGCAAGTCTTTGGGCTGCAAAGAGACAGACAGGACAGAACCAGCCCTTGGGCTTGCCAGTGGATGAAGGAACCCAAGAGAGGATCCTTGTTCAGCACAGGGGTCCCAGCTTCCCTCAGCGGCTTTGGAATAGGTCATCTGTCGTCCTCCCAGATGCCAGTGCCTGGATGGTATTATTCCTAAAGGTGCTGAGGAGGAGGGTTAAAAATAACATTTAATTCTTCTAAGAAGGTGCTTATGCAAAGTGTTCCACTTTTTATGGTTATACATCCAACCACACTGAATCCGGAGTGAAGCAGAGAGACTGCTGCAAAGCACAGTCTGAAAGAGCAGGCGTCAGTGAGACCAGAACTTGGGCACCTGATGGTTTGGGAAGGACATTTCTCAATCCATCACGGATCTCTGCTGCTGTAGAGGTTTGTGTTAAGTGCCTAGCACCCCTGCGTTGGTTAGCAAATACACCATCCGTTACAACAGCTGTATTTAGTTAACTTGTACTCAACATGGGAAGCAAGGGCACTTGATTGCAGACCAGAAGGGTCTGCTCTTCCAGACAACCCTCTGGATCACAGAGCAGTTTGCTGCAGAGCCAGATCCTCGCCATCCCAAGCGCGTTCCTGGGTTTGATGTACAGTCACTAGGGTAAAAGTTACTCCAGGTAGGCTTTGCTGAGGAAGTCACTCCCCTGCCTCCCTTCTCCCTCCCCAAAAAAAGATGGATAGATGTCTCCTTTCTGGTTACCCTCTTGACTCATGGATCAAGCAGCGTGAAGCAAGGTCCCACCACAGCGGCTCGCGCGTTCTTCCCAGTGATTTTTCTTTTTTGTATTAATTTTAAACTTTTTTATCAAAAAACAAACAAACAAAAAAAGGCAGTTTATGGCTAACGGGGGTGAAAAGGAAACGCGCCCAACAGCCGTTATGTGGGGCAAAGCAGGAACCCAGAGAAGGAGGAGTGGATGTATTCCGTGGAGTACAGCCCGTTGGCCTGGTCCGAGGGCATTTGTACCCAGACTTGGTCGTTCTCCTTGAGTTCAAGCACGGCACTGCCCGAGGCCTGGTCCAGGTAACCCTTTTTGTACTCGTCGTAGGTGTAGGTGGCGGGCACGTTGTTCTTATAGAGCGCCACCCAAACGTTGGTCCCTTTGACGTGCACGTGGTAGGCAAAGTAGTAGATGCCGGATACGGGGCAGGTGAATATCCCGGTGACCGGGTTGTAGCCGTTGTGCCCGTTATACAAAGTCCGGTCAAACTTGACCGGCATGCCCGACGCTGGGAACGGGGAGGTGAGGATGGCGGTGAAGGCTGGCGCGATGCGGGCGGCGAGCTCTCCTCGGCCGTACTGCGGCTTCCCCGGCTTCCCGTTCCCCAGCACGGCCCCCTCCACGCCTCCATCTGGGAGGTGCAGCCCCGCGATGCCCGTCTCGTCGAACACCCCAGGGGCTCCCGGTGGCCCGGGTGGCCCCGGTGGGCCTGGTGGCCCATTCAGCCCCGGTGTTCCTGGCATTCCCGGTGGGCCAATGGGTCCAGCCATACCAGGCTCACCGGTCTTCCCCTCACCGGGAACCCCCGGGAGCCCGGGCTCTCCTTTCAGCCCTGGTAGCCCCTGAGGCCCCATGGGACCTGCAGGTCCTTGCAAGCCCGGGATGCCAGAGGGGCCCCTCAGCCCTGGCTGTCCTGGGATCCCACCATCCCCTTTCGGCCCAGGGCCACCCGTCAATCCTGGCACCCCAGGGAGGCCGATGAACCCTGGTTCTCCCTTGGGGCCCATTGGGCCAGGGGGTCCCAGTGACCCGGGCAGGCCCCTTTCTCCCGGCACCCCCGGCTTCCCTGCGAAGCCGCTGGGGCCCTGGTCACCGCGCATCCCTGGCATTCCTGGGGGACCGCTCGGCCCCACATCCCCTTTGGAACCAGGAAGCCCATGCTTGCCCGGCAGGCCCATGGACCCCGGTGGGCCTGGTGGCCCGATGATGCCGGCGGGGCCTGGCTCACCTGGCTCCCCATCAACTCCAGGTTCCCCCTTATCGCCGATGGCTCCTGGCACCCCGGGCTGCCCGCGGTCTCCTTTCAGGCCAGGCAAACCCGGCTTCCCATAGCCCGTCGGGCCCGGCAGACCGGGGAGCCCGCGGATCCCAGGCTCTCCCTTCGGTCCCATGGGACCCTGTATCCCCGGCACCCCCGCCACGCCCGGGACACCGATCCCATCAATGCCAGGGGGGCCCCGGGGCCCCATGGGGCCGGGCTCTCCATTGACGCCAGGCCCACCTGGGGGGCCCATGTCGCCCTTCTCCCCCGGAGCACCCGGCAGCCCATCGAGGCCAGGCTTTCCAACGCCAACGGGCCCTGGAGGCCCTGCGGGGCCAGGAGGGCCCCCGTTCCCCCGCGGCCCCGGTAACCCTGGCTTCCCCACACCGTTCTCGCCCTTCATCCCTCGCTCTCCGCGGGGACCCGGCTCCCCTTTTGGGCCAGGTTCACCTCGAAACCCAGGCAAGCCAGGGCCGCCCTGGGGACCCGGCTTTCCATTGACGGAGATGCCGGCTGGCCCTGGCAGCCCCGGGGGGCCGGGCAGTCCTCTTGGCCCTTGCTCTCCTCGCATGCCAGGCTCGCCCTTGGCTCCGGGCATCCCTTTCATACCCGCCTTTCCAGGGAGCCCTGGGATGCCGGGTTTCCCGATGCCCGAAAAGCCAGGGGGCCCGGCAGGCCCGGGCTGGCCGTGCATTCCCGGTTTCCCCGTGCCCGGCTTTCCTGGGTAGCCGGGAGGCCCTGGGGGTCCACGTGGGCCGGGCTTCCCTGGTGGTCCTGGCTCCCCTTTGAGGTCCATCGGCAGCAGCGGTGGCATGTCTGCGGAGAGAGGAGACACCAGAGCTTGAGTGGGTGCGTGCCTGGTGCGTGATGCCCTCGGGGTGTTACAGCCGCAGGATCTGTGCGTGCAAGGGTGCCCTTCTCTAGGAATGGCTTTGTTTCAACATGGGCACGGTGGCTTCCTGGGCCACCACATCAGCAGGGCTGTCTTGAGGCAAGACCTTGGCCAGAGTCCAGGGTGCTAATCCAAGCCTTACCCCATCCCTCCCTCCACAGAGGGTGTCAACAAGAGCAGCGATTGCCGTCGGCTCTGGCACTGTTGCTCTTTGATGCCCCACTGTGGGGATTTCTTAGGAGCTGGGTTCAACCCTTCTGCTGCCTCACACCCAGCGGCCTCGAAAGCACCGTGGGATTGGGTCGCTCCGGCCTGGATTCAGCTGAGAGGATGGTGCCAGAGCGAGCCAAGGCTGAGGATAATCCCCGCACCCCATCCCGCGGGTCCAGGGCCTCAGGAGCCCTTTAATCCTTTTGGACATGCACTTGGGAGGTGCTTCGTGCATGGGTTAAGCCGTGCCCGCGGTGCTCGCTGGCTCAGCTCCCGTGGCCAGCAAGACACAGCAGAACTCCCCAAAGAGAATTAAAAAGTGCTGAGGATGGAGGAAAAGCCAAGAGCTTCGAGGGAAACGCAACCTCGGTTACGTCCCAGTGAGTCAGCCCAGCTGGGAGCAGCCTGGAACCACTTGACATTTAACGCGTTTATAGAGCTCTTTTGCAAACGGATGTAAGACAGAAAGGAATGGGCTGAGAGCCTGCAAAGGCGAGGAGAGGCCGGTTCCATGCCCACCACAGCTCGGGGCTCAAAGCACAGACGTGAGCATAAAGAGCTCCCTGAGGCTGGGGGTTCTTCCCGCGTGACACTGGGAATGGGCGAGAAAGAATGAATCCGACAGAGCCTTTCTTGGGAAGTTTGTGATGAAGGGAACGCTTGGCAGTGGCTGTGATGGGAGATGGGAAAGGGCTTTGACATGCTGGTGGATCATTCCAGCTGGGAACAGACCTGTGTGCTCAAGTGCCTGGGTTGGGAATGGATCGTGTCTAGGTTGGGGCAGAGCACGGTGCCCCAGTGTAACCAAGGAGGGGGCAAGGGGGTCCCTGAGCAAGCTGAGCCTGGATCCCCACAGCACCAGGATGTGCCACCCCAGTCAACGGGAAGAGATTAGGGGAGATTTGGGACACGTGAAGGGAATAACCATGGCAGCAGCAGGCACTGGTGCCTCAGAGGTGGTGCTACCTTTCCTAAGCCCAGCCATTAGCTCTGGCCATTCCCAAGCCTGGTGCCTGCTTGTTTTCCTTCTGGCACTGGAAACCTTTTCAGAGCTTATCTGTAAATCAAAGCCTGGCCCCCATCCTAGGCTGTCAGCGAGGTCACTTGGCTCTCTCGATGGAGGAAATACTTGTCTGTCAAGACATTGCCACTGGATTTCTGCAAACCTCCTGCTCCTTCCCCCAGCAAACTGTGGGAAAGGAGGCACAGGGAGATGGGAAGGGTTGCACTGCAGCAGATTTCTGGGATTCTGGAAGACCCCATTTCCCCAGGCAATGATTCCAGTGTGCTTTCCCCCTCCGCCTGCCGTGTTTTCTTTATTCTCCTTGCGCTGGGTTGAAAGGAGCGAGTTTTCTAGGTCATTTTGCGTGGCACCAGCACAAG